TCTGGACCAAGGAATAGAAACACACACACACACATACACACACACAATTATTGGTCTGTCTAATTAGAATGGCTGCAATAGTCACACCAGTCTAAAGACAGGATTAAACATCATCATCATCATCATTTTATTATTTATACCCCTGTTCCACAGGGAGGGCGCCACTACCCAGAAGGCCCTGGAGGGCCTTCTTCCTCCATGAGAGCCTGGAGGTGGCAAAAAGGGAACCAAGAAAAGTGGAGGTGAGGGAGAAGGATGTGAACAAACTGGGGGCTGTACGTGTGGATGATGAGTGTCACAGAACTGCTAGGCAATCAGAAAAGAAAATACCTGAATGAACATTAAGATAGAAAGAAGAGTGATTTGAAATGGCTGTTGTTTAAGAATTACAAGACACATCTGCCCATTTCCAGCTGGAAAGGAGCAGTAATAACACCCAGGAACAACAGGAAAGTTGGTGGAGAAGGAGGAAGACAGCTCAAAATCACAGGAGGACCCAAAGACAAAAACAGAGTAGTCCTGTTTCCAGGCATTCCTAACCCTGTGGCTGCCTCTGTGCAGTAGGGATGGGAACCTGTGGCCTCCAGATGTTGTTGAACTACAATTCCCACCATCCCTGGGAATGCTGGCTGGGGCTGACGGGAGTTGAAGTTCAGCAGTAATTGCAGGATCACAGGTTCCCCATCCCTGCTGTATAGCAACATACTTTGCTAGGTACTAAAAAGATTCCAAACACAAGCCCCAACACATATTTATATATGTTGAATTGTATGTACAGGTGAAAATTAAGATGGTGGAGGCTGGAATGGCACTGTGCTTTGTAAGCAAAGGTATTAAAACAGTTTGAGAAGAGGGGCAGGATATCTGGGGCCCAGTACAAAACACCCTGGTTCAGCTTCCTCAGGCCATCTCCTAAAGACATCTATCGCTGATACAAAGTCAGCCACAGGGTTAGGAAAACCTAGAAGCAGGTTTTCAAGTATAACTGCTGTGGGATAGGACAACAATTTTCAATGAGGGCATAGGGAAAGTACACAGGGGAAGGGTTAACTCTCCTGCCTCCAGCTGCAACCCTCACAAACCAAAAATTTCCCACTGAGCAGCAATTAGGCTTAAAAAATAGCTTCCATTGGAAACACTTTTTAAAGTCTAATTACTGCACAGGTCAGATAGGGAAGCTCCCGTAGGCCATATCTGGCTTGCAGGCCAGCAGTTCTTACCCCTATTGCATAGAGTACAGATTTGCCCAACACACGGATCTACTAAATGGAAGGGAGAACTAACTTAGGAAGGGCTGGCTCAGACCAAAGGTCCATCAGGTCCAGGGTTCTAGCAGTGGTCAGCCTGATGCTTTTGAGAAGCAGATAAGTGTGGTATGAAAGCAAAATCCCTTTCCCACTGTTTGTCACCAAATGAGGGTATTAAAAAATAATAATAGCCAGCTGAAACACAATCAAAATACAGGTTAAAGAAAGAGCTGGAGATAAAACAAAATGTCTGTTTAAATGAAAAGGGGGTTGCCTGCTGGTGGAAGGCCACTAACAAGATAAATAGATAAGTGACACTTCCTTGGTAAGGAGTTCCAAAGTCTGGTTACAGCCCCTGAGGAGGCTTTTCTCAAATTCCCATCAAATGCACGTCAGATAACCTAGTTTATGGGAGCAAACTAATTGCATACTGGAAAATTAGGTTTGCGCAACTAAAGTTGATTTAAAGTGCTCTGGTGCAACAAATCTACTTTAAGAACAACAAGAACAGACTTTTGCAGTCAGTAAAATGAGGGGGAAATGCAAAGATGGGGAAATGCACTAAAAAAAGTGTAGGATTAATGGGAAGACATTTAATCACTCTGCAAGCAACTCAAAATGAATGCAGGATGAATATTCATTGTCATAAAATCTTCTCACAAAGAAATCAGAATGAATGCTCAATGAAGACCAGACATCGCCTAACATCAGTTTAAGTCTGGTACAAGAAAATCAGGATGGATTGTGGGCACCACAATTTAAGAAGGCTACTAACGAGCTGAAACGTGTGCAGAGGGTGACCAAGATGATCAGATTTCTGGAAATCTAGCCTTATGAAGAACAGCTGAGGGAGCTGCGTATTTTCGGCCTGGAAAACCGGAGAGTGAGAGGAGATATGAGAGCCATCTACAAATATCTAAAGTGCAGTCACATGGAGGATGGACCAAGCTTGCTTTCTCCTGCTCCAAATGCTAGGACCCAAACCAGTGGCTTCAAGTTACAAGGAAGGAGGTGGTGGACTCTCCTTCAATGGAGGATTTAAAGCAGAGGTTGGAGGGCCATCTGTCATGTATGATCAAGTTGAGATTCCTGCATTGTAGGGGGTTGGACTAGATTACCCTTGGGATCCCTTCCAGCTCTACAATTCTATGTTACTCTGGGTGCTGAATAAACAGGTGGTTTTATGGAGCTCTGGGTTCATTCAGAGCACTGCTGCTTGTTCCACAGCTTGGTCAACTAGAGTCAGCTACCATAATGTACATGGAATTGATTTTGGTACACAGCACATGCCAAACAAAGGTTGGTCACCACTTAATGTAAGAAGAGATCCCTGCTGGATCAGACCAAAGGTCCATAATACCCTGCATCCCACAGTGGTCTACAAAATGTCTCTGGGAAACCCTGAAACAAGTTATTGTTATTTGCTTTTTTCCAGAAAAGTGAAACTCAAAGTGACTTACAAAAATGAGTAATAAAACATGGATTGAAAATAACCTAGAGTGTTGTGTGTGTGTGTGTGTGTGTGTGTGTGTGATCCAGGTGAATAACACTGTTTTTACCAGGCCCGTAAAAACAGATAGTGATGGGGCTAGACATACCTCCCTGAGGAAAGCATTCCATAAATGAGGAGCCACCACTGAAAAGTCCCATCCTCATGTTGCCACCCTTTTTACCTCCCACAGAAAAGAGCATGCAGGATCCAAATCGCTTCATGTGGGGAGAGGCAGTCCTTGAGGTATTATAGGCATTATATATAGGTATTATTGCCTATAGGTATTATAGGCAGTCCTGAGGCTATATAGGTCAAAACCAGCACTTTCACTTGATCACAGAAACTGATTGGTAGCCAATACAGTTTTGACAAGCTTTTGCTCAGATTGTCTTCCCCTGGTGAGCAACTTGACCACTGAATTCTGCACCAGCTGCCATTTCTGAACTGTCTTCAAAGGCAGCCCCACATATAACTCATTGCAGCAATCTAACCCAGAGGTTACCAGGGCACAGACAACAAACGTTAGGCTATGCCTGTCCAGTAGCCTTCCCCTACTGTTGCCCCCCACTGATATTCTAAGAAATACTGCCTCTGAAGATGAAAGTTCCTTTTAGCCATTCTGGCTACTAGCCATTGTCCCCTATTTAAGCCTCTCAAATACAAAGACCAGGCCTCCAGCTAGCATCCACATATTGATAGCTGGTTAATATCTGCATCTTACAATCTTCCATATTTAACCTTGCCTCTCCGCTTAAATATTAATTTCTTCTCTGACATTTCTTGGTGAGTAAAGTGCAACACAATTCCAACTCCAGGGAGATAGACAGATAAGGCCACCTACTGAGATCACGACTGAGCAAAGAGTTCACGGCTGGTTTCCCAGGCTGAAGCAGAAGCCGTGTGGTACTTCTGTTTCCAGCCTTGCAAATGGTGGTGCATGTTTTGGTGGGTCCTGGGCAAAACACCACCATCAATCATTTGTGTCCTCTTTTCCTGATGGGGCTTTTCACACCAACCTCCTAAAAACTCATATAAACAAGAAGCTGACAGCACAAAGGCCTATCTCTCCAGGTCTTGTGAGCTCCCTAGTGAAAGGAGTGTCAAAGTTTTTAAATTGCAAATAGTGATGACTACTATATACTGTATAGGAAAATAGAAATCTGCCTGATGCTGAGACTGAACTACTGATCCATCTAGCTCAGTACTGTCAATATGCTGACTAGCAGCAACTCTCCAGGGTTTCAGAAAGCGAGTCTCTCCCAGCCCTATGCCAGGACCTTCTGGATGCAAAGCAGCTGTTCTACCTGTGCACTATGGCCCTTCTACAATAAGACAAATGCACCTGCACACTGTATGCCAAGCAGTGGCGTAGCGTGGGTTGTCAGCACCCGGGGCAAGGCAAGTAATTTGCGCCCCCTAACCCGTGAATTTGCGCCCCCTAACCTGTGGATTTGCCCTAACCCCAGATGTTGCGCCCGGTGCGGCCGGCCCCCCCTGCACCCCCCACGCTACGCCACTGATGCCAAGCCCCTTTCATTGACCAAAAGCCACAAGGGAACAGACATCTTCCTGCACATGTCATGTGATAAGATGTTGCTGAAGAAGTGTTTTCTCTCCAACACCCAATGTTCACCCTTCTTTCTCTCCCACCTGGGCCTGAATGAGTGAAAATTTACTCAGAAGCCCCACTGTGTTAAAAAAAGGTTTACTCCCAAGTAAGTGAATGTCTTTCCAACTGCAGTGTAAATCGTATAGCAACTCAAAGGCATGTGTTTCGTACAATCACTAGTGCCAGCGTTCCATCCATAAATGTCTTGGAAAGCGGAGAAATTACACTCCTTTTAGCCAATCTCCCTCCCTTTTTTTAAATATACATCCAAAAATGGGGGATCCGAATGTGCGCATTCGTTTATCTCTTTTAAGCCATTTTTTGAAAATGTTTCTTTCCGCAAATCGGACAAGTAAAGCAGTTCTTTACTTGTGCTTTCCGTAACACTGCAATCAAACAGCAATCCGGGGAAAGAAAAGCACCAAGCGCCCTCTTTATCGCCACGCATCTAGACGCATGTGTGTACGCTGCCCGAGCGCCAACAGGTGGTTTGACGCCGGTAGCTCGAGTTTGGCGCCGCCACGAAGGGGAGCGCAGAGCAGCGGCGGGACGCGGCGGCCGAAGCCCCTCGGTGGGTGAAAATGCGCTCTCTCGAGCGGGCGCCACCAAACTCCCCGGTTGCCCAGGGCGATCGCGTAAAGAAAGAAGTTACCCGCGTCAGCAACAGCAGCTCCAGGCGCGCCGGCAGCCCCGGAAGGGGAGGCGACAGGGCAACCAGAATTCCCCCTCTCGGGAGAAAGAGGGGCAGGTCGGGAGCAGGCAGCGAGCTCCGGCCCCCCGGGAAGGCCCACGGCAAGCGGGCGAGGGAGCGATCAGACAGCGCCGAGCGCGCGAAGCTCAACGGCGCGCTGTTGACTTCGGGCTGGCGAGAGCCGCTCCGCGCGAGTTGCAGTGATGTAATGTCAGCAAGAGCAGCAGCAGCAGCCTCCGAGTCACATGCCTGAACTTTCCCCAACTCCACCCCCTGGTGTTCCTTTCGCCCCCTCCGATTTCTACATCCTGGCGGCGTGGTGTGCATGAGAACCCAAAACACAAGGGAAGAAGCCCCTCCTTCCTTTGCACGCCGAATCCTTTGCTTGCGAGGATCATTTGTGCGTTCCACCTTTTTATACCGCCCTTCGTCAGAAACATACCGGGGCGGTGTACAGAAGATGTAACATAGGCATGATTATTTATGGACATTTTTTTTTAAAAAAAGGATCCTGCGCAACCCAAAGCCTTGCTGCATTCCCCACAGGGTCTGCCTGTTAAAAAAAGTATCACAGTCTGAAATCGTTTGGAGCCTGTTTGGGACCGACACAGCACCCCTTGGCCCAAGCTTCGCTGGGAGGTCAGCGGACTATTCCACACCGATCCAGCAACCAGCTAAGCTGGCGTGTTTATGGATAAAGGCAGCTGACAGCCTTTGCTGTCAGTGGCTGGAGGGCCCAGCGGACGAAATGCCACCCTGTACTTAAAGGAGTGGGGATATGGCTGCTCTCCAGATTCTGTTGCCTACAGCTCCTCTTCTCCACCATTGACCATGCCGGCTGGGGCTGGTGGGAGATGCAGTCCAACAACCTCTGGAAGGCTGCAGGTTTGCTGCTCGGTGCTCTTCCTCGACTGGCAATGTATAACAGGTTGCAAATAGCAGCGCACACAAAGCAAGCATAGGAACATAGAGAGTCGGAACATTCTGAGTCGGAACATTGGGTCCCCCTAGCCAGGGTCAGCCCACCCATGAGGCAAGGTAAGGCAACCTAGGAGGCAGATCCTGCCTCTTAGGAATGCATGTGGCCCTCCAGATACTGTTGTACTCAAACTCCCATCAGCCCCAGCCGGCATGTCCAATTGTCAGGATGATGGGAGCTGTAGTCTAGCAACACATGGAGGGTCTCAGATTCCCTATCCCTGCATTAAACCACACTGCCGCTTATTTTAAATCACTTTATCTAAAACACCAAAGGGTGTGTGTAAGTGTGAGTGTGAAGGAATCCCCCCACGCTCTCCCTAAATGGCAACCCCCTGGAGAAGTATAGGAACGCAGGCAGAAAGATGCCCAAAGATGCTTCTGACCAGCCATTTGCCCCAAAGCAGGATTCTCTATATGTCACCTTCCACCTCTCAAGAGATCTGCAGACTTTTGAAAAGAGACATTCAGCTCTTGGGTCTGTTGGTCTTTGCTCTGGCTACATGATGATCCAGACAGCCCTCATCAGAGCATGGCTATGCTGAATAATACAATTAGACTTTTCAGAATTGTTGCCTTCCCCTTCTGCTTCACTCATACCAAGGATAAATGAGGAAAAGGCAACATGAGTGTGGCTGCAAAAGTAAAACTATTTTGAAACATTACTGTTGACAAAATATTAGGTGAGGAGAACCAACGTTGCTTCAGGCTGGAATGCCGTCCCTGTATACCTGGACGTATGTCCTACTGAACTCAGCTGGGCTCACTTCTGAGTAGGCCTGCCTCAGATTGCACTATTATTAACAACAACACTGCTGTGTGGTCCTCCTCTCACAACATGCTGCTTCAATCTTCATTGGATGTGCTCTCTGGGGAAAGATTTTGTCATGGGGCAATTCCCAGAGGGGTCATAGCCGTGTTAGCATCTCACAGCAAAAACAACAGCCTTGTGGCACCTTAAGAAGTGTGTTGTGGCAATATGGCTTTAGATTTCATGGACTACAGTCCATTTCATCAGATACTTGGAGCATTATCCTGAGTTGGGGAGGGGGGATTGTAAACACTCAAGGTCAAGGTTCTCATGTTAATTTACAAGGCCCTTAATAACTTGGGTCCAGGATATCTTAAGGACTGCCTGATCCCTGTTATCACTGTCGTATCTATCGTTGACATCTCTGGGGGAGTCTCTCTAATGGTGGTCCTTGCAGGGTTCAGATGCAAAAGCTTGTAAATACCAGAAGCCATGCATTCGGTATGGTGGGACCTATCCTGTGGAACTTCTTCCTGAGTGACATTAGACAGGCCCCCTTCCTGCTAGACTTCAGGTGCTTGACAAGGACTTTCATGTTTCAGCAGGCATTTTAAGGTAGCTTTCTGTCTGTAGGATGGATTTTACTTGTCTGTATTCTGTGTACAGCTCTTTTTAAACATTCGATGTACACCACTTAGAAATTATTCATATCAAATGGTTTATAAATACTGTACCAGAATATCTATATCTATGGACCGTTTGCACATTGCTTGTCACAGTGAAGTCATTAGTTTTACAAAAATTACCTATAAATGAAGGGGCTCTTCCTTCTCATCACTTGGGGTGCTTAGGGATCTGGGAAGTGAATTGCAATTGCACTCTCATTTTCCACCAGCAGGGGCTGGGAAAGACAGCTCAATTCCCACCTTTCAGTGGTGGCAACAGGAGCTCCAGCGCAGCAGGAGCAATAGTATGCAGCAGCCTTTGTCAACCTGGTGCCCTCCATATTTTCTGGGATCTGTGGATAAAGGGCGGAATACTACTAATAATAATACTAATACTACCAATAATAATGTTTTGGATGACAACTCTCATCACTCAGTATGGCTGTGTTGACTGGAGCTGATGGGAGGCAGTCAATTTTTCAAGGATTATCTTGTTTTAATAGTATTTTATATTTTATTGTATTAGTGTATATTGTTGTTCACTGCCTTGCAAGATGGTATATAAATACACAGACACACACATACATATAAATAAGCAATTTCACATTTGAGTTTTTTAAGAACTCCTGGCATGGGTGTTGCCCGGATTTTTGTTAGAGGGGTAAGGACTTTTGGGGGGGTAGAAGTGACGTGACTGGTCAGTTATTAAGTATTTCTATTGTTTTCCTTGATCTGGGGGGCAGCTGTCCCCCCACCCCCTTTTGCTACCCCCATGACTGCTGGCTGGATTCCATCTAGATCTCGTGATTTGTTAATTTTTCATTTGTTGCTAAAGCCTTAAACGGCTCACGTCACCACTGTTGCATCAGTTCTGAATACTCCCTTCCCTACACCTTCTGGAGTGCAGACAATCACAAATAATCCATCCAGCTTTTCTGCAATCTCCTTAACCTTTTTAAGCACACCTTTAAATTTCTCTTCTCGTATTGTCCCACTGCCTCCCTAGCTGGCTTCTGCTTCTGGTGTATTAAATGTGTGTGGTTTTTTAAGTAATTAATCTCACTGTTATAAGCAACATGCTCCTCGAATTCTGTTTTTAAACATCCCCGATTGCCTCGTTTCGCGTTTTTGTGGGCGTGTGTGTGTGTGTGTGTGCATGGGTTTGTGTCAACATCTGTTCCCGTTTGGGCAAGACTTTAATTGTCTTGCTTTTAACAACTTCCTTGCCTCTGCTGTTTACCACGCCGGCATCTTCGTGCACTCGGCGGCACTTTTCCCGATCTGCTGTATACTGTATACAGTACTTTATTGTTATTATTGTTGCTGTTATTTTGCATACCCTTTGTGATCGTTGCAGGAAAACAGTTTCCGCGACCTCTCCAGGGACTTCCACTCCCTCTAGTGGCTCTTCAAAAATAACAGTAAAACACCCAGCCATTTCGCGATTGTCCCATTTCTAAACAAAATCTCCCTCGGGGAGGGGTGGGGAGGGAACTCCCCCCCCCCCGCTTAGTCAAGAGGTCACAAAGTTCAAGGGAATTTCTCAAGAGCCAATAGGCGAGATGGGCACCAGCAGCTTCGGTAGCTGATACTGAGCATGCTCGGGGGAGGTGGAGCATGCTCACTCCCTCTTTCCAAGGTACGGATGCCGAGCGAGGGAGCCTCGGCGCGGATAGGGAGCAAAGCCATGGAGGGTGGAAGGAAGCGGCGGAGCGCCTCTTTCCCGCTGCTGCTGAGTCTCGCCCTTGAGCTCGTCCTGCCGGTCGCCCAGGCTCGGAGCCTCCGCTTTGTTACCTTGGTGAGCAGCAGGAAAGGGAGGCAAGAAAAGAAAGAAAGGGATTAAGGGGGGCGATCTTTTTGGGGGGGTTGCCACGTGACACAAGGCTTCCCAAGCCCCAAATGGCCAGCAAGGAAAGGGAGGAAAATCTCGATCGGCCCTTTTTAAAACAACACCACACCCATGAAATTCGTGTTGAAAACAAGTGGCTTTTCTTCGCTGCAGGTTGCGCTTTGCAATCGAAGCAGAGATCGCGATTTCTCCGTTAAGAAAATAATCGAAAATTGCAAGGGTTTGGGTTTAATAATCATCATCATCCTCGCCCTAAGTGTTGATATAGCAGGAGCCAGGGAGGACCCAAGAAGATCAGGGTGCTTGGTCTCCCCCCCCCCCCCCCGCGCGCCACGTTGTTTCCTTGCTGCGTATCTCCCAGCCCCTTCGGCTATCTTGAGAGCCGGCAGCAGGGCTTGACAGCAACCTCGCCTCGCTTCAGGGTTGGGGTGGAGCAAGAGTCCTAGTTATTTCTGGCCCGAGGCACAATGCATGGGAATTGGAAAAACAGGAGAGGTAGAGGACGCCAGCACCTGCTGGCTAACGGTGAACTATTTTGGTTTTCAGTTATACCGCCATGGAGACCGCTCTCCTGTGAAGGCATACCCCAGAGATCCCTATCAGGAAAGCGCCTGGCCTCAGGGATTTGGGCAACTTTCTCAGGTGGGTATCTCAGAAAAAGCGACCTGTGGGAAACTTTGAACCCCAAGGAAACACATTTCCCAAGAGGAGAATGCAGAACTATTTTCTTTGAAGATGATATTGTGTCAAAACATGGCATGTTGTTATTTGTGGTGGTGGTGGGGTAATTCTCCATGCAGCTCCAGTCTGAGGTTTCCTCTTTTGCCACTGCTGCTGCTGCTTTCCTCTTGGGAGCTATTTTTAGTTCCGCTTTCCTTTTCTCTTTCCTACCCCAGGGAAATGACAGTCCCTTTTAAAATCAGATGAAGCAATAACTTTATGTAAAAGACAACAGTTTCCCCTATTGTTTTTATAAAAGCAAATTATGTATAGCTTAACAACCTGCAAAACATGTTGCGGGGGGAGCAGAGGGCTGTGTCATTCATTTCAGAACAGATTTTGGTTAACATTTCCTGTGTCAGCAGTGGCCAAGCTGTAACTCTATTTGTTCTCATTTTCGTTGGTGTGGTTGTGCACGCAAGCACAAAAACTTGCTTTGCTGTTAATTTGTTGCTGTTGATACGCGTAGGAAGGAATGCAGCAGCAGTGGGACCTTGGTCGAGCGCTTCGAAGGCGTTATGATGGATTCCTCAATTCCTCATACAATAGACAAGAGGTTAGTGCATTGTCCCAAATTGCTAGAGATATCATGACCATGCAGTGTCCTCTTTGCCCTCCCTGTATTAAAATCTCTTTCCTCTCTCTTTCTAAATAAGCGGCTGAGGAAAATAATGGAACAACATGAAAGCCTGTTCTTTCAAATGGCATCTTCCGTGTAAACAGTTTGTCAAATCCCTGCTTGGCTTAAAATAGTAAAGGAACAATAAACAATTGCTGACCAGGGCAGTGATGTAAAGGAAAGTCAAAGGAATAAGATGGCATCTGAGATGGACTGAACTTTGTTTGGTCAAACAGGCCACTCAAGACAAAGGGAATCGCATGGGACACAATAAGAGACTGGGGTACTTGATAAGAGTATAGATCAGATGATTTTCTCCTGCTCTCATGCCAGTGGATGGACCTGTTTGAGCGTGTTTGTTGAAAAATCTCTTGAGAACTGTCAGGAGTTCTCTGGTGAGTTGGCCTGTAGTTTTCCACTGCCTTTTTCTCAGCGATGAAAGCAGATAATGGAAGGCATGGCCCATGAACCAAATTCAGGTAAATACAACAGTAAGAACATCTCCCAAACCCTGTGATGCACTTCAGCTGTCAAGCAGGAATTTATGACGTCAGGCTTGCCTTGCCACATGCACAAAAACCTGCCCAACTGGATTGTCAACCACCTTCTGGGTGTTTTTATTTAACTTTGTCTCAGTGCCACTCAGTAAACAGTTTTAAATGTGCATAAAGGACAATGTGAAATGAAGCAATAGGCCTATTTTGTTCCTGTTAGGAACATTGTTTTTATTTATTTATTTCTACATTTATATCCCACCTTTTCCTCCAAGGAGCTCCAGGTGGCATACACAGTTCTCTTTCCCCGTTTTATCTTCACAACAGCCCTGTGAGGTGGGCTAGGCTTAGGGACAGCGACTCACCCCAGATCACCCAGCCTGGCCGAGTGGGGATTTGAATCCTGGTCTCTCAGGTCCTAGTCTGGCAGTCCTAACTGTGGCACCGCTGGTGTGGTGTTATAGCATAGCATGACTGTTCTACAGCAGCAGTATATATTAGACAAAGTGTTCTTCCTATGCAACAGCTTCTTGTAGGCCCTCAAATTTTCCAGTGAAAGCTACAATTTAAATGATGATGAAAGCTCTTCAGGAACATTTTTATTAGCCTTTGTGCCCATTCTGTTAGAGCTCAACCTAGGAAGGTAACAGCACTGCTGCTTTGGGGATTTCTTCCTGTGTCAGTTTTCAAGCTAAGTGCTGCTTCATGAGATGGGCCCTGCAGTTCCACCATGGTCAACTGTGAGCTCTCTTTTGTGTAACACCTCCAGGAGATTTGCATGCCTTGAAACACAGTTCTAGAAACTGTGATTGGCTGAGGCTTCCAGAAGTCTGCTTAGCACACCTAAAGAGCTCCACTAATGCTCTTTAGGTGTGTCCAAAACGCAATCAATTCTTGTTGCAAGTGGGGTAATTGCTCTTTGGCTGCAATGTGTGAAGTGGCAACGAGACAGAGAACTGAAAGCCATATCAACTCAGCCTGGCCACAGATCATCCCCCATATTATCTGCCTGCTGGCCCAGCCCAGGATGAATTCAGAGCAGGAGCCCTGCTTCTGTTGCCTTTGCTGCTCATGCCTTCTAAGGTGATGTCCTGCCAATCTGGGTATGCTGCATGTAACTTGCACATATTATATTGCAGAGAGGATGTTTTCAAGCCCCACATCTTTGTCCTCTTGCCTGAATTAGAGTCATTGGTGACTTAGTGGCTGCACCTGGAAATACAGCAGTAGCGGCAACTGAAGAAGGTGTCAGAGGGAAAGTTGCAGAGGGTTTTCTCTTGTGACATGTAGCTTGGGCTTGCTCTGGAGCAATTTGCTCTCCAGGCATCTATTGTTTCTTGGTGAAACAGCATGGTCAAGTGACTTCTATGGGGCTTGAAGGCAAGAGCCCTAGCTCTTGTATATGGCAGTAGGATTGAACAGCTGTTGAGGCCTGAAAATTGTACATTGTTTTAAATTTGGCTGTAAGTCGCTTTGGGTTGCCTTGGGCAAGATAAAGCAACCAGCAAATGTAAATGAATGAATGAATGAACCTGCACCCCATGTCATATGCCTTGTAGAGTGGATATATGGAGAAGCAGCACTTTTCTAGTTGCTTCTGAACTTCCCGGGAAAGCCTGTGTCGCACCTGGTCTGATTCAGCCCATTCCTCTCAGAGCTGGAGACTAAATCTAACCCAGGCACCTCTCAGCTTCCACTATCTGTTGCTTATCTGCAGGTAGCTCAGCTTGCTATCTTTTTGGAAGACTAATGAAAGAAACCTAATATACTGTGTGCTGACAGTTGTCTTTTTAAAAGACTGCGCCAAGCCCACTGAACTCATTTGAGAGCAGACCAAAATATGTGAAGTAAAGGTTCGCATTCTGAAATGCTTCAGGGAATAACAACATCAGGTGCTTGTTGAAAAGAAAGACTAGTTAAAGAAACAGGGATAAATTAAGGGATTGGGAATTATCTCAAAGGGTGCTTATTTCCACACTGTTTGATTACATTATGTGTTCTTAAGTCCTAGGCTATGACATACACTCCCTTCTTAGAACTCAATTTGTTTATTTGCATAAGTGAAGATTCAAGTGGAATATCCTGTTTGGAGGGAGCCGATTTATTTTGCCCTGCAGGTTTTGTGCTGTCATAGACACACTCCTGTTAGTGACTTGCCCACCAGGGACATTGAAGCATTAAATTCCTTGTGGAGAATGATACATAGAGGTACATCTGTAGGGCTCTAAGATAGGGGTTACAGACAACATATCTGATCTCCACAGACAACATATGCAGGCTTCTTCAGTCTGTGCCAGTTCCCCTCCATTCCATATGTCCTTTAGATAATTAGGGGACCACTATATGATCTGTCCTTGTAGTTAGCCTAGAACAACACTTTGCATTTTCAAGGCACGATACAACAGCACTCAACTCAGCATTCAACGTGGGTGGCCTGTAGCCTTGGAAAGTGACACACACATAACTCAAGGCTAGAACATCTGTGTTTTGGATTTGTGAAGCTCCATTGCCATTTCTGTAGCTTCCCTAACCACAGCTATGCTTGATTTTCTAGTTCATCTGCTGCCTCTACTTTACTTTCCCTCCCAAGCTCCCATTCTATTTCCTTGCTTTCTATAGCAGCTCAGATATTCAGAATAGCAACGGGTATCAAATTGTTCTTTGATCAGACTCTGTTGGGACCTGTTTATTGCCGGCTTCCTCACTATGTCTCTTGTTAAGAGCATGTCTAAATCAGATCAGCACTGCAGCAGAACCATGAACATAAATGACCTTCTGTATTTGATTCTATACTCTGGCAGATCTACATACGCAGCACAGATTTTGATCGGACCCTGATGAGTGCCGAGGCCAATCTGGCAGGACTGTACCCTCCCGAAGGGTGGCAAGTGTTCAACCCCAATATTTCTTGGCAGCCGATTCCTGTCCACACAGTACCTGATTCAGCAGAGCATGTAAGTCACTTTCAGACCTAAGTACCAGTAGACTGGACCTTCTTGCATAAAAAAACTTCTCTCTCTCTCTCTCTTCAATTGTTTTCATTTACCCTAAATGCTACCATTCCACTTCTTCATCCTGACTCCTTGGTGATTTCCCTCTTTTGGAGCAAGTTGCATTTCTCAGGCCCCGTTTCACCTGTCTGGAGGCAGGCAGCCTCTCTTAGAAGTATCACTTTGCTTTCAGCAATTAGCCAATTAACAAGTTAACAGTTAGCATTGCTTGTAAAGATGGATTCACGGTCAAATGATCCTCTTAGTGAACATCTCTGTTTTGCCTCTGTCCAGCTCCTGAAATTTCCATTATCTCCCTGTCCCCGTTACGAACAGCTGCAAAATGAGACCCGGCAGACAGCAGAGTATGTGAATAAGACCATCCAGTACATGGTATGTCAAGTTTGATGTACTTCTCTATCTCTTTATACAATGGTGGTGGCATGGAGAGATGGAAGAGCTGACTGTCCTTTGCTCCTGCAGGGATTTCTGGAGATGGTGGCAAACAAGACGGGAATTCAGGATGTCTCCCTCGAGTCGGTCTGGAGTGTATATGACACACTCTTCTGTGAGGTGAGCTGTCCATCTGTAGTCATTAGTCATTTGCCCTACAACCCATTTAGTATCAGAAGCTGTCTGTGCTCTTGGCTCTAGAACCCAGGCTCAGGGGCCAAATGCGGCCCTCAAGGCCTTTTCGGCAGCCCTTGGCAACATGAGACACCCCACCCAGCAGCCCTTGCACTGCTGGATGAGGAGGTGTGAGGGCTCTGACAGGGTCCTGGAGTCTTCCTGTCTCCTTCCCAAAGCCTAGTTAGTACTTTCCTAGCTTTCGGGAGGAGTTGGGAGGGCTCTGGGACCTTGCCAGAGCCTTGTGCCTCCTTCCCAAAGTCTGGTGCCTTGGTTAGCCAGCAGTATGAGGACTGGGGGGGGGGGTCAAATTTGGCCTCGCTTCTCCCCCCACCAACGGGTGCAACAAAGTCGTGTGTGGCCCACAGGTTCCATGCTAAACTACTCTTGTGACCCACTTGGTATGAAAAGTTGGACCGCCCTACTCTAGGCCACATTCTCTCTCCTCAGGCTACACCTCTTGCTACCCCTGGCTCTGCACCTTCCTTGAGTGTTTTTGCTTGCTTGGAGGATGCAGAGCAAGCTGTGTGTGTGTGTGTGTGTGTGTGTGTGTGTGTGTGTAAAGCTCTGGTCTCTGTGTGGCTGTAACATAGCCAGCTGCACAAAAGAAAGAGTCGCATCTGTTGTTCCACCCACTTTTTGCCTTTGTCCTCACCCACCACTGACATGTGACCACCAAAACAAATTAACAAACAGCCTCCCCCCCACCCCACCCCCATGTTTTTAAAAACTGGCAGGGGGCAAAAGGCCTTAGTGGGCACCAAGGGAGGTGCCCACTACACTAGGGGCTCCATTTCTGGCAGGCCCTTCCACATGGCCCTAATTGTGGTCTAGGGATGCAGGTGGCACTGTGGTCTAAACCACTGAGCCTCTTGGGCTTGCCGATCAGAAGGTTGGCGGTTGGAATCTGCACAACGGGGTGAGCTTGTGTTGCTCTGTCCCAGCTCCTGCCAACCCAACAGTTCAAAAGCATACCAGTGCAAGTAGATAAATAGGTACCTCTGTGGTGGGAAGCTAAATGGCGTTTCTGTGTGCTCTGACTTCTGTCACGGTGTCCCATCGCGCCAGAAGTGGTTTAGTCATGCTGGCCACATGACCCGGAAAACTGTCTGTGGACAAACGCTGGCTCCCTCAGCCTGAAAGCGAGATGAGCACCACATCCCATAGTCACCTTTGACTGGACTTAACCGTCCAGGAGTACTTTACCTTTACTTAATTGTCCTCTAATAGGAAAACTGCATTGAGAAGTGAGATGATCGCAAGAGAACAGAGCAGATTTGAAACTTCCTTCCAACACAATTTCTGTTCACAGAAATTCTTTTCTGTGGGAGAGGCTTATCCTGTCTACTTTAGAGTCAGCCACAGATGTGTGAAGAACCTTCCCTTGTCAAGTTGAGAAACAGGTGTTAGTGCAACGTTAAAATTTGCATAATCAGTTTTTACTTAAAAGTGCGAGCATCACAGTCAGACACGTTAGACCTGAAACTCCATGCAATAATGAATATTGTGTCACTTGGATAAGTAGATTAATCTGCTTATTGTGGAGGAAAGCTTGGGAGTTTACAAAATGAAGGCTACCGGAGGCTGTTAGGAAAGCACAGTTCCTTCCTCTGCATCCCAACCCTTATGCACACCAAAGATTTGAAAGCAAAGTATTTTGTCTTCATGAATTCTGATCATAATGACTGTTGAGTTTTGATCCAAACAGCATTGCTTTACAAATGCATCTGTGGTCCTGGGTTGAGGCATTTAAGTTCAGAGGGCAAAAATTTGCCTTAGACCATAGGGCAAGCTCATTCCAGACCAGCTGCCATAACTCGGGGGGGGGGCTTTCATTCTTGTTTGCCTAGTTTGTATCTCTGAGTGGCCTCTCTCTCTCTTGCAACATCTTTCCAGAAAACACACAAAAAACATCTTCCCGATTGGGTAACTCTCAATGTGATGACTCAGCTGAAGCAGCTGAAAGATTTCAGCTTCGAATTCCTCTTTGGGATCCACAAACGGGTGGAAAAAGCTCGTTTGCAGGGTGGTAAGTGAAAGAACATGGAAGGCAGGTTGGGAAGGAGTGGAGGAGCATTCATTCACTGGTCAAGAACTAGGTTCTGATAGTTTGTTCTGTTTCTGCAGGGGTCCTTCTGTCTCAAATAAGGAAAAACCTTACTCTTGCTGCAAATGCCTCCACACCTCGCCACTTCAAAATGCTAATGTACTCAGCAGTAAGTTTGTTTCTGGGAGCTGTGCTTGCTTTCTCCTTATTACCATCTTGTGAACAAAAAAAAAAACAAAACAGCTGTAGCTTCCAGCAGTGTTTCTCCTGCTCTGTGAAAGGAATAAGCAAATTAGCACTTCTGTCTCTTTGCAGCAACTACGGATGCTACAAAAAAAAACCCAGATGCTCTCACAAGCAACACAGAACTTTGTCATTTAGCCTCTCTTTGTAGCGCAGTTCCCAACGTTCCGCTTAGTTTATTTATTTACTTACTAAACGTGTTAGTCGCTTTATCTTGTCCAGGGCAACCCAAAGCAACTTACAACCAAACAGGGTATTGAAATAGGTGCCAGCCTTTTCTCCATGGTCCTGGAGCCCCTTTCTTATTCTTCCTGCCAGCACCTTGGGAATCTCTGCCAATCTGCCTTCTTCTGAAATGTGGTTTTAAGTCCCTTTCCATATGCACAAAGGAGATGTTCACATTTTTCTTCCTCTTTCTCAGCATGACACCACCCTTGTGGCACTGCAGATGGCTCTGGATGTTTACAGCGGGAGGCAACCACCATATGCCTCGTGTCATATATTTGAGCTGTATCAGGAGGATGATGGGTGAGGGCTTCATGAAGCATATCAATCAAAGGAAATGGTATTCAGAGGCAATAATCTACCAGCCTGCTGTACCTTAACTTTTGTCCACATGTTCACAGGAGATGAAATGAGGTAAAAGTAAGACTTGCAGTCTTAAGATGAAGATCCCCTGTGCTGATGGAGTTACCAGTGTATTAGTAAAGCCTTACGTCTGATATGACTGTGATAGAATTACAAGCAGGAATATCAACAGTACTTTTATGCATCTTTGAATTTAAGAACACCCGACAAAGCACATATAGTATATTCCTGTTAACAGTCCTGTTGGTAACCCAAGGTGCCACTGTACTTTTATGAGTTATTTGCAAGTAACATCCAGTCTAATTTTTAGTTTTTGCCCCTTGCTCAAAAACAAGGAGGGACAACCCAGCATTTGTTAATTTCTAGCATTCCTCATGCATCTTAGGGTGGAAGGGGGTTGTACGATGATTCAGGGCTTGATTCCAGTAGAAAACATGATATGAAGACGAGGGCAAATCATCAGAATCTCAGTTTCTCTCTTCCCTGTTTTGCTCCTAGTAACTTTTCAGTGGAGATGTTCTTTCGGAATGAGAGTGGGAAGGAGCCTTACCCAGTGCAGCTGCCTGGCTGCGCACAGCGTTGTCCCCTGCTGAATTTCCTGCAACTCACCGAGCCTGTTATTCCACAGGACTGGAAACAAGAATGTCAGATAGCAAGCACCATAAAAGACACAGGTGAGTGGAGGCTGTTCCAGTAGATAAGCCAAAGGAGGACTGAAGTGATTTCAAGTGCCATAAGCAATTTTTTTTTCATTTCACCCTCTGCAGAACTTATTGTGGTTTTGGCTGTCTGTGGATCCATCCTCTTCCTGCTTATTATCCTGCTCCTGACAGTACTCTTCCGTTCCAAGTCCCAGCCTCCCGGCTACCGGCACGTTTCCAATGAAGGAGAGGAACAGCCTTGACATTTGCTCCAGCCCCTCCTGAGGCAGCAGGAGAGAACGGTGCTGACTCTAGAGACAAGAGGGGCTTCTTTCAGTGACTAAGGGTCTTCTTCATTTGTCCTGATTGCTGCTTCTAAGCCAGAAGGCCCAGACTCTGCGGTGGAGCTGTTGTGACTATCGGATGCAGTCGAGCTGCCAAGCGAATAATACAGTCATGAACTAGGAGTGAAATGCAAGCTTGATACGGGGGTGCTATTTGCCAGAACGTGACTGGTTCTATCAAGGACCCCGCCTTGCTTCTTTTGAACCCAATATGCTGAAGTCTCTGCTACTGGTGCAGAATGGGCAGCCTTCCCAACTGAAACCTGCTGCTCCTCAGAAAGCCTTCCTTCCACCTGGCAGTTGTTACTTGAACCTCCCTGAACTGTGGGAAAGGGGCCTGGTGCTATAACTGCCTTCTCCAGCTGAGTTATTACCTGGGAATCAAACCACTGCCTCTCTGTCTTACGTACTTGGCTCTTAGCCACTGGGTCCATACAGAAGGATAAGGTTGGGGGCTGGACCCAATCTTATATAACAGAGGAAAAAATGACTTTCTCAAAAGCAGCCTTCTTCCCATTTGTCACTGACTACAGAAATTCAGTAAGTGGAACACAGTACACTTCCTCTGTCTCTCCACTATTTTCAGCCTCAACGTATTCTTACAAAGCAGTGCAGCCCTGTGTTTAATGTGAAGTGAACTAGTGGAATTTAGAAGTGCTTATTAGCAAAGGCCTGGCTAGAATCATTCTTTAAATGCCCTGTATCATGCACAATACTCTGGACCAGCAGAGATTCAAACAAAATCTGCTGTTTTAAAAACAAAGGTAAGTCTCTGAGGCAGAAAAAGTAGCTAAGTATGTTGCCCTATAGAAAGAATCTTTGTGTATCAAGTGTAGCATGAGAATTTCACAGTAAGGATCTGCAGCTTTTGTGGAAAATCCTCCTATCATGCCACACTTTATATATGACAGCATACATATTCTTTCTAATACATCTTCAAGCACTTTCTCATCATGCATGTTATATCTGACATGCAAAGAACACAAAAATAAGCATCTCTGCTGTTCTAAAAACACAAAGAAATTAAGAACACTCACAGCTGCACACAAATGTCTTGGGTACAAACAAGAAGACAAAAAGCAAGCCCAGACCCAGGCTTGAACAGAAGTGCTTCTGAGCATATACATAATGTGTTTCCTTCATGCTTGACAAACTACAGCTTACCTGCTCTCTACATACACTAAGGAATAAGTGTCCAGGCAGGCATGATTGCAAACACAGGCATGAGTTCCACAGCATACTTTGCAATCAAATAACATAGTCCTCCTCTCCAAAAAACTGAACACACACTTTGCTTTTCTCTCCTCCCCGCTGCTTCCCATCCCCTTTCAGACATAGCTGCTCAAAACAAGAAACAAGTGTTCTCTCTGCACATTTCTCTGTCCTGCTCCCATAGGCAAGAAAGCCTCATTCCTTCGTCTTCACCCAGGGCTCAGTCCAGGAAATCTGAGGCCAAATCCAGAAAACTGTGTCTTTCATTTCCCTCCTTAAAAGTAGCCCATGCTGGTTTTTCTCCCCACCTTTCCCAAGTACAGCAACTGAATTCTTCAGAAAAGAATCAGAGGCTTGAAAAGAACAAGAGGTGCCTAATAAGAACTTCACTTGTTTGGTCTTTTCCCTTGGATGCAGAGAGGAAGCCAGGATTTTTAAATATGGGAGCTGGATGAGAAAGCAGCTCTGCTAAGTGGGAAGAGTTAGTTACTGGGAGAACAGCAATCAGTATTTAAAATGGCCAGTGCTTTTTTTTAATGAAAAAAAGTGCCAGTACTCACCATGAAGTTCTTACAGTAAGTGTCACACTTTTAACATTTGGAGGAGGGGGAAGGTGCCGGCACTGCGTATCCTTGAGTACCCTGGAAAAAACCACTGGAAATAACAGACATATCTAAGCATGGGATTGTGGGGAGCTGGCAGTCCTAATCTTTCCCCCAGAAAGATGTGCTGCTCATTCTGTGGCTTCAGCACATGCATTAAAATAAAGACAGAGTATTCCTGTTCCTCACTACATTACCCATCTTCCTAGTAATCATATTTATTGATGCTTCCATTGCAACTAGCGCTATGTAAGAGCCACCCTCCTAGGTAAGGCCAAAGTTTCATGACAGTGGCCAGCCAGGTGCCTATGGGAAGCCTACAAGCAGGACCTGAGTGCAACAGCACTCTCCACACTTGTGATGCCCAACAACTACTTTCAGAGACATACTGCCTCCAACAACGGAGGTGGAACATAGTCCCCATGAATTCGTCTTTCAAAGTCATCCAAAGCCACTTTCTGCACTGCAGCTTCTACTTGTTGACAAGAGACCTGAAGAGTTCTGGGTTGACAAAGTCCATTGTATTCTTGCAGAGAAGCTGGTAAAATGTGAGCTGGATGAGTTAATTGGTTAGGGGGATTTGTAGCACTGGCAGAGGAAGGGGGGTGCCTGGGTGTCATCCCTGGGGGTGGGTGACATCACCGCCCCGCCCCCCTGGGATGCTCACCGCGGGCAGCGCCCCCCTGGGATGCTTGCCCCACCCCCCGAGTGCACAGCATGTGTGCCACTCCAGGTGCCGGAGCAACTAGCTCCGCCTCTGATTGACTAACCAAACCCAAAGAGTGCTCACTAATGGTTCCTCATCATCCTGGATAAAAGTGACGAGTGGGGTGCTGCAAGGTTCTGTCCTGAGCCCGTTGTTATTCAATGTCTTTATAAACTTGGATAAAGGCAGGGCTGTTTTTCAACTGGAACTCGCCAGAATTCAATTCCAGCACCTCTCAGGTGGGCGCCATTGCCATTATAAGAAAAGAAGGGAGGCATTCATGGTGAGTTCTGGCACCTTTTTCCAGAAAAATAGCACTATATAAAGGTATTGAGCATATGCTCGTCAAATTTGCAGATGACCACAGAAGACAGAATCAGGATTCAATATGACCTTAACAAATTGGAGAACTGAGTCAAAGCTAAGAAAATTAATTTCTATAGGGACCAAGGTAAGGTTCTGCACTTAGGCAGGAATAACCAATTGGCCTGCCGGTAGAAAGTGAACTCAGGGTCTTAGTGGACCACAAGATTAAGGTGAGTCAACAGTGTGATGCAGCAGTAAAAAAAGCTAATGCTATTCTACGCTGCATCAACAGAAGTATATTGCCCAGGTCAAGGGAAATAATATTCTGCCTTAGTCGTACCACACCTGGAGTGCTGTGTCCAGTTCTGGGCACTACAATTTAAGAAGAATATTGACAAGCAGCAACATATGCAGAGAAAGGTGACCAAGATGACCAAGGGATGAGAGGAGATAGGATAGCCATCTTCAAATATCTAAAGGGCTGTCCCATGGAATATGGAAGTCTTGTTCTCTCCTGCTCCAGAGTGTAGGACCAGAACCAATGGATTCAAGTTACAAGAAAGAAGATTCCAGCTAAACAACCAGAACTTTCTGAAAGCAAGAGCTGTTCAACAGTGGAACAAACTTGCTCAGAAGGTGGTTGGCACCCCTTCCTTGGAGGCTGTTAAGCAGATGTTGAATGGTCATCTGTTATGGATGCTTTGGTTGAGATTCCTGCATTACAGGGGGTTGGACTAGATGACCCTCAGAGTCCCTTCCAACTCTACAATTTTATGATTCTATGAACCTGCAAATATTAATTTTTCCAATACATCTGGCAACACGTCATGGAATATAATTCTGCAAAAAAAGGGGGGAAATGGCCAACTCTGTTTGCAGCTGTCAGCATCTATATTTTCCCCATTGCTGATCACACAACTGCATGGCATGGCTCCTGCAGGGCAGGATGCAAACACAGAGCCAAATGAAGCCCAGCACAATTGGTTGATTACTATTACATGTATTTCCTGCAAGCCAGGTAAAAAATTAAGAGGGGCAAAATTTAAAGTTGTCTGCTTTGGTACAAACTGAGGGCATAAAAGGTTTCTGTGATTTATTGTTCGAGTCTCTGATTGTTGTCTTTGTAATTCACTTGGATAATTTTCTTAGCCTCCCCCTCCCCCCAATTAAAAACCAAGTGGAGAAAATCAAGACTGGACTCTTGTTCTTTCTTCCTCTGAGCAGGTTTTAGAGCTGGACCAAAACGGGGGGGGGGGGGTGCGCAATTGCAAAATACATCTTTTTGCATCATGGATCCTAGTGAGAAAACATCCCCCCCCCAAGGGAAAACCTGCCTTTATGAAAGTTGTCTGTAGGTATTACACTTTATTTTACTGTTTCTGTATGTAAATTGAAATATTTATAGGAGTGAGTTTATAGGGTTCCACCTACTCTGCACATTTATATCTGGTGTGCAGTTGGAACATCTTGAAACTGCTTCTTTTTAAGGAATCAAACTTGAACATATGGAAGTAGAAGCAGGGGAGGAGATTACGAGGTGAGTTGAGCAGATTTTCAACCAAGTTTGCAAAGATGGGGCTCCTGAACCTTTTTCTTCCTACTATGGTTATTATTCTTTGATTCCTGCCCAATAACACTTTAAATTGTCCACAATGACACCTGGCTTGAGAGCAGTACATGTGAAAAGGATCTAGGAGTCTTGGTTGACTACAAACTTGACATGAGCCAACAGTGTGACGCGGCAGCTAAAAAAGCCAATGCAATTCTGGGCTGCATCAATAGGAGTATAGCATCTAGATCAAGGGAAGTAATAGTGCCACTGTATTCTGCTCTGGTCAGACCTCACCTGGAGTACTGTGTCCAGTTCTGGGCACCACAGTTCAAGAAGGACACTGACAAACTGGAATGTGTCCAGAGGAGGGCAACCAAAATGGTCAAAGGCCTGGAAACGATGCCTTATGAGGAACGGCTAAGGGAGCTGGGCATGTTTAGCCTGGAGAAGAGGAGGTTAAGGGGTGATATGGTAGCCATGTTCAAATATATAAAAGGATGTCATATAGAGGAGGGAGAAAGGTTGTTTTCTGCTGCTCCAGAGAAGCGGACACGGAGCAATGGATCCAAACTACAAGAAAGACGATTCCACCTAAACATTAGGAAGAACTTCCTGACAGTAAGAGCTGTTCGACAGTGGAATTTGCTGCCAAGGAGTGTGGTGGAGTCTCCTTCTTTGGAGGTCTTTAAGCAGAGGCTTGACAACCATATGTCAGGAGTGCTCTGATGGTGTTTCCTGCTTGGCAGGGGGTTGGACTCGATGGCCCTTGTGGTCTTCCATTCTGATTCTATGATTCAATATTTCCCCTTCTTTTGTTCCATAGCTCTTAGCAGAGGGTGGGGGAGGCGGGAGTCAAGATCTAAAAGGCCTGGTTCTGGAAAGCAAAATTACGCAAGTTACTGAAACTTGCATCATTCATTCTATTCACAGAACTTCAGTTGATTTGGGATAAAGTTTGTAAAGCTCCTCGTATCTGGTCTTTGGATATGCCTACTTCCTAGTTCTTTTTCTTCTTAGGGAGCAGTTCAGCTTCTCAGGCATTACAAAAAAAACAAAAACGTTCCATACAAAACTTTATTGAATGTATCTCAATTTTGTAAATGAGGTGAACAAAACAAAATCCCAATAGCAACTGCTGCAATATAAAACCCAAGCCACCTGCCTTAGTCTCAAACAGCCTCTTCAAGAAGTCTGTACTTCTATACCTAGGCCACAAGCAGTTTATCAATCAAGTAAATGCTTCTAGCTAAACAGTTGCCTCACAACATATCTGTTTTGAGGAAGCAGTGCTGGGAAAGAACCCTTGAGAAGGGAAATTCTCACATTTTGAACTGGCATGGGAAGACAAACCCAGGTTGCTCAATACACTGGAAGGGGAAATAGGGTGTTCTGAAAATGCAAACTGAACTGTCAGCATAGCCCAGTTCACTGCGCTGTGCCATGTCCCAGACAGTTAAAAATCCGCAAGTGTGCACAAATATGGTGCTCCTTTAATTGGGCCAAATGCATGTGAGTATTGAGCATGGACACATTCTTTGCTCTTAATAAAGGATTTTGAAACATACCATCCGTGATCCAGAGAAGCTGGGTTAGGGTAAGGGCTTGCTTCTGTCTTGAAGCCACCATTGCCTACCATGCCAGCACAGGCTTTGCTCTAAATGAACACCACATATGCTTGCCTGATCAGTCCTCTGAATAGTTTCCTCTCTTCTTCTTCTCTTGTAATTTATGCTCTTTGCCCTTTGTTTTGGTGCTCTCTAATTCAAGACTAAATAGTTTAGTTTTAAGTTTGCTTGCTCCTGTGGTTGATTGTCTTTGGTTCTGTGTCCCCAGTCGAGATAAGCGTCTGCATCTTATTCCCTGCTCTGTCATGGACTGCATGAGACACTCCTGATTCTGGGTTACCATTTCCTCCCGACTCCAGACCAGAATATTAAAACCTGCCAGAAAAAAAGTGACAACTTTAGGAATTCTGCTTTGGAAAGCAAAATAAAAAGTACATTCTAAGAGCTCTGACCATCACCAGCGAAAATAAAGGAATCGTTCACATGATGCTGACACAAATGCTTTGCTCATATACTATGCAAAATAATGAAACTTTACTATCTCTCCTCTTACCCCCATCTCTCTTCCCAATTTCTCTTTCCTGCCAAACCCATATTGCCTGTAACAGTAATGTCTCACTCTGAATGTGACTGACCTGTATGAAGAAATATCTGACTTGAAAACAGAGGCTCTGTATGTACTATTGTTACCCAAGTACAGTACATATTTTAAATGATGATGATAATAATACATCGAAGAGCTCAGACATTGTCTGCCAGACCTGCTTACTTCCCAGCTACTAAGGTTTAATGGAGCGCTTGGCTTTTGATGTTAGATCTACAAAGTCTCATTACAGGAACAGAATCCAAAGTAGTAGCTAATAATCAGGTATATCAGTAATTCATCTTTCCCAACACTTAACAGTACCTTTAAGTTAGACAGCTATGCCTGAGTATTTTTTTTTATTTCATATTTTCAAACACCTCTTAACACTTTATAAACCTCTTTAACACTTAAGACAGTTTCTTAGTGGTTTATAAAATTGTGTGTGTGTATGCGCCCCTGCAATTATGTGTAGTATATATATGGAGAGCAAGAGAGAGCAGACAAGGAAACTGAGAAACAACATTAAAATACAATACAATAAAATCCCCCAAAACAAACACAAAGTGGCAAATTATAAAAGCATCTTAAGAGTCAATGATCCCTTCCCCCTTCCATGACTCACAATATACAGCATTTATCTCACTGACACACATCACATCCAAATTCTGTCTTACATCTACTCAAATCATACATCTGCTGCTCATTCAGTATCACTCATTCCATTCTATTCTCACACATCCACCGCTCACACACACAATCCACACACTAACTCCCACAATATCTCCCACTCAGTCACTAGTCATCATCACCAATCACACTGTGCACTCAGCTAAAAACGTACTGCAAAAACACCAGAAGACAATGAAGCTATAGCCTGACTGAATCGTAGAGAATAACAAAACTAACTGCAACCCATTAATCACACAGATTTACTGCTCCTAACAGCAATCTGCCTGTCACTCAGGTTGCTGTCTCCCACCCAAGACTCCCACCCCCGCCTCCTTTCTTCTCACCAAGGAATCCTGATACACCATTTACTTATCACCTGGTGTTTCTCCCCTGTCCCTTGCTCTCTTGCATGCCTTTATTATGTTGCCAAATTACCTCCAAGCAAGGAAGGGTCCGCTTAAGAGATGAAGCAGACTGCTGGAAACTAGCAAAAGTGTACAGGTTCAGTCCACAATCCTTGGTACAGACAAAGCCACTGGTATACTGGTACTGCTAAAAGGTTTATTTGTCCCAGGTGCTAGGTAAATTTACTTAAAGAATCCATATAACTGCCAAGGTTAATTTATTCTGGGCCTTCTGTCTTTTGCATTACTGCCTAAAAGGCCAATAGATGGCAGCAGTACTCTCCTTTCAATAGGCTGTTCCACCCTATCATTTCTAAGCTAAAGAACAAAGTAGTCAAGGGTCAAAGTACCGTATTTTTCCGTGTATAAGACGATGCTTTTTGGTTGTTTTTTTAAAGGCAAAAATTGGGTGTCAGCTTATACATGGATAATGAATGCAGAGGGGGGACATGTGATTAATGGCAGCAGCAAGCAGGAGATTGGCAGCGGTGATTGGTGGTTGTGGCAAGGCCTGCTGGCGATTAGCTGCAGCAATTGGGCAGGCAATCGGGGGCTGTGGCGAGGCGGGTAGGCAATTGGCGGTTACAGCAAGTGGGCGGGTGGGCTGTTGGCGGCTGCGAGCAGGCAGACAATTGGCGGCTGCAGTGAGGTGTGTGATCGGCAGTGACTGTGGCAAGCGATCGGCAGTGGCGGGCAGGCAGGCGAACGATTGGCAGGAGTGACCTCCCCCACCCCCCCAAAAAAGCTAAACAACTTAATTTCTTAATTCTGGGTTAAAAAAAAATAGGGGTCGTCTTATACATGGGGGGCATCTTATACATGGAAAAATACGGTAGGTGTGACTATGACAGCAAGAGATTGCATGTGGAAAGACACAAAACTGGCCCGTTCACATGCTAAGCAGGGACTGGTATCTTTAGCAGCAAAAGGATCCCACAGGAATGGGGTGATGAACTCTCCTCAACCTCTCTGTTTCTGGCTTGCTTCTGGTAACAAAGCCAAGAAGGTGGCTGGAAGGTAAGGCATGGGAAGGGTTCTGCACCACTCTCTCTTGTGCTTTTATTGTTAAAGCACCACCCATTCTTCTGTGTATGTAAACAGTCTTAAAATACAACTTTTGTAGTTGTTGAGGAAAGGTAGGATAAAAATGTCCCAAATGAACATCTAGAAAGTGTTATAGGTATAGCCACAAAATCCCACCCCATTGTCAGCATGCTTTTATCTGGAGAGTGCCTGATTGTTTTTATCTGGTGAGAACAGTGGCCCATTATCAAATGTGTAAGATTAAACCAACCACTCACCCATTCCAGAAGCCAGGGTGTCTCCCATAGGGTTAAACTTATTGAGCTGCAAATGTAAACACAATAATGCATTGTAACCATGTCGGTTGTTCACTTAACATCATCAATCAAATAAAAAACCAGAACATTCTGGACAGAGAAATGCCCAGCACTGGATGTGGAAAGAGTTTTGAACAAATCAGCAGAGTTTTGAATAGAAGGTCTCTCCATCTCCCACCTATCAGTCGATCACGAGATGCGTATGGTGACAAGAAGCAAAGGATTTAAAAGATTTTTAAAAGCCTCCTGCAGAAAATTTACTGACAGATCTAACCAGGAGCCTCAGTAAGCGACTCTCGTGAAATCTGGCTTAGGAAGAGGCAGCTCTGGCAACAGGAGATAAAACGTTTCTTCCACCACAAGAATGGAAATGAACCTCTGCCTCAGAAACTGCATGGGCGCACAATTAAGATAGATTTTTTTAAAAAAAATCAGGGCTCTGATTTCAATTCTGAACATCTGGTGTGGAAATAAACAACTCAGGTATTCTTTCCCACAGCCCACACACCAAATGAATTGACATGAACTTTGTTTATTGAAGTTTGGAGACAGCTGTGCATCTCCTCATTTCTGGAGTTTAGGAAACGAAAGGCATGCCTCTGGAGGAAAGGGTGGGGCTATTACAGTAGTCTGTCCAGGCTGGAATTTGCAACATTGCAAATGGCTAGTTCAGCAGCTCTTTAAAAAAAGAACAGCTAAGAAAACCTAAAAAAATACAAATGTCTCTGCTACAGTTCACAAACACATTCATCAGTGGCAACGACAAAAAACTGATTCTGATGATCTTGACCCTGCAGAAAGTGGAAGGTGCCTCTTCCTCCCTGAGGTCTCCACACAATGTAGAAACTCTGACAGCTCTCACACTTCTTGCTGGTCAAGAGATACACATCAAATGCATAGACACACAATCATAGAACTGTAGAGTTGGAAGGGACCACCAGGGTCATCTGTTCCAAGCCCCTGCAATGCAGGAATCTTTTGCCCAACGTAGGGCTTGAACCCACCACCCTGAGATTAAGATTCTCCACCGATTGACCATACCTAAGTCATCCCACATGTACAGAAAACTCCGGGGTGGGGAAGGGGTCTCATCTCTGACCTTACACCATGCTTTGGATGATTCAGTAGCAGCAAGAAGTCTTGTTGCTGCCAAAGATCTCCCAGGTGCTACATGGGGTCAGAAGTGAGACACAGAGGAAGGTCAGAGTAATGGAAACCACAGGTGCTGGCTACCAAGACAAGCTAAAGCCCTGGCCACATCCAGTACAATAGCGCAGTCCAGGTTTCAGAGGATATCTCTCCATTAGGCACTAGTGGTCCTACCAAAAAGTGGTAACACAGGGCCTCCCCACCCAAGTGAACTCCTGCTGTGAATATGTCTGTCCTTAAAAAAGAGCTGTGTGAGCTATTCTTAAGGAGAAGTGCTGTATTGGAGGCAAACATTTGTCACAAGCAAAGCCATCAATCAGTTGCACCATATAAGAAAAGAAATTATTATTTCCCTAACCCTCTCACTTTTTGGGGCTGGGGCACAGTAGCTCTTTGGACATGCTATCTACACTTACCGAGATAATTCCAGATGCATTTGGATCGTGCAGCTGGCACACCATCTCCCCACTGTTTCCATCAAATATGTCAATGGTTCTCAACTCGCCCACTGTGTAGCTTGGGAACCTAGGGTCTGGGTAACGACCCACCACAATGAGGTCATAGCGAGGATGCCATGTTGCCTAAAATAAAGAAGAGATGGTTAAGCAAGGTCAGTGCTAAACTGATACGTGTTACAGAGGACTAGGATGACGATGACAACAACAGTCTTATCAAGTGCTGGCGTTCTGTGGGTCATCCAGATTCAGCTCGTACCCCTCACATGGGAGTAAACAAACTGCAGACCTTTCAAGGTATCATAATGTAGCAACATAATTTCCATAGGTTCTTACTAACCCTACCACTTGGAACTTGTGTACAAATCTAGGGAGAAGTTCTGATTACAACTAGGTGCCACTGCCCTAGGATTCCTTCTGCCCAACCCTGCCACCAATAATGGTTGCTGTCAAAGTAGATTCCAGTCTAAGGTTGTATACTGGAATGCTTATTTATATAGATTCATAATCAGAAGCAGAATGAACCACTCTCCTCAATATCCTATACTTGAATCTATACATATAGAAAGAGCCTGTCCATAAGGCTCCCAGCAATTTTCCATACAGGAGTTGTAGGATGCTTTTCTTCTTAACTCTCTGCATCAAATGGGCCACGCTTCCAAGTCAACACTCCTATTTCTTCACCTTGATAGGTGTAAGGTGCTGGAACTGCCGATGGGGATGTGAAATCAGATGCTGGGGCTTGGACCAATCAGAAGAGGAATAGACCCGGATTTCATTGTACTGGTCAGTACTCAGTAGCTTAGCCCCATCCGTTGGGCTGAAATATGCTGGGGAGGAGGGGGAGAAAACAGGAATATGTATAAATGTATGTAAATGTATTGTGGCCAATAACAAAATAAATTATCAATGAAATATTATATTTATATATTATATTTGCAGCTATGGTTACTATCTCACTATGCTTATTATTATTATTATTATTAGTCCTGTAGAAGAATTATAATAAATGTGTAATTGTTGAGTGATGGTCTCTTCTAAAACAAATAAGAGCAACATTTGAATATGTCCTAAACAGCACCAGTTATAGACATAACTAGAATGTAACACGCAATCTTATCAGAGAACAAAATGCTGAATTTCCACCAAAATCAACCAAACTATCTGCATAAATCCTTAAGTACCACTGATTTCAGTAGGTTATTGGTCTCTAAATTCAGTTTCCTTGGACTTAATTAAATAAATTCACACTGACTTCACTTTTAGCTTTACCACACACTTTTTAAACAAGACTGAAAATGTGAAATGACAATTGCAGAATTTGGGGAGGCAGGGACTGGTTTAGAATTCAGTGATTTTGAAGTAACATTTAATATAAATCTTGAATATTGCACTTGGATATTTGAAATACATAGTGTGGCCTAAGTTTTATTTGGAATCTTTTTCAGATGCCCAAATACTGATTGCAAGTAAATGGCCTAATCAAAGACCTCCTATGTTGAAGGATAGGGAAATTATTACTATGATTTGGAATTTGGCTGAAAGATGTGCATTAAAGAGATGGTAAACAATTCTTGTTACACTTTATTTATGAACACAATTCAGACATTAAGAATAAGATTAAGAATAAGAATAAGATTAAGAATAAGAATAAGTGTTGCATAATATATTTTTTAACATGGAAAATAATAACTAAGCCACCACCTCTATTCTTCTCTGTTGTTGTTTTTATCCTGTAGGGCTAACATTACTATTAAACTTTGATTTAAATTTTAGCAAGTCTATAGACACACTCAGTATAGACACACTTCATCTTTTTAACAAGACATGTGAAACTATGACAGGAATAGGACTAGTGTTTGTTTTTCCCCACATATCTTCCAATTTCCTTCACAACTTATGCCAAGGTTTGAGGGCACCTTATAATGTGCTTGTACAGTGGTACCTCGGGTTACAGACGCTTCAGGTTACAGACTCCGCTAACCCAGAAATACTACCTCGGGTTAAGAACTTTGCTTCAGGATGAGAACAGAAATCGTGTGGCAGCAGCAGGAGGCCCCATTAGCTAAAGTGGTACCTCAGGTTAAGAACAGTTTCAAGTTAAGAACGGACCTCCGGAACGAATTAAGTTCTTAACCTGAGGTACCACTGTATCTCATTTTATCCAAACAATCTTGTGAGGTAGCAGGACTGGCATTGACCTTTACAAGGCCAACAGCTGGTACAGTGAATGCAAGGTTGAAAGACAAAGGCATGTGGCACTGACCTGAAGCACGCACAAGCCAAGAATGGTTAGGTGGCAGAGTATAAGCCATGAGCCACTTTGCTTTCTTACCTGCATTAACAGGTTTATCATGTGGAAGTACATGAAGAGAACTTGACTTGTCCTTAATGTTTCTCAGATCCCAGATCTTTACTGTCTGATCCACAGAGGCTGTAGCTAAGAGCCAATCACAGTGAGAATTGAATTCCACGTGAGTTACTTTCTTTTTGTGCAGTTTCAGGTTCCATACCTGCAGTGGATAAAACAAAAGCCAAAATGCATTACAACTACAGAGCAAGAGATTTAGACATCAAGCATACTTTTCTAGGAGATGGTAAAACCTCTTTTTTAAAAAAAATGATATGGAAGACAGGAGAATATATGCTTGTATTCTAAATCAGCCTAATAAAGACAATTCCAAAACTCTACCGGAGATCAAAGATTAATCTAAATAAGGAACTTCCAAGTTCTCCTCCTGGGGAATATGATCTCTGTAGTAAAGGGAACCTATGGTTCTCCAGATGTTGTAATACTACAACTCCCATAATCCTTGATCAGTGGCCTTGCTGGTTGGGGCTGATAGGAGTCCAAAATCATCCATGATATATATTCTAAGTCAGGGCAACATTAGGCACATGTTAAAAATACCAAAAACCTATGTATGTCTGATCAAAGCAGGACGTAAGGCAAAGAGCACACTAACCTTTTCACCCTCAGTACTGAGCAGAACTACGTTGCCCACATTATCACCTGTCGCCACCGTCCGGCAAGTTGCAGATACATCAACACTGCAGTACCAGAAACTAAAAAAGAAAGAAGTACAAATTCAGAATGTTCACCCCCTACATGTATAGCTAAGGTGGTTCTCTGTTCTTAGCAGAATGCAAAAACAGTATTTATATAAATAATGGAATCACAGCTGCGCTGAACTGAACCCTAGTGGCATTCTGATGTGGGATCAGTGTTGGATTATTTATCAAGTAGTGTAACAAACCCAACAGGCATCGCTTGGAAAGACCAAGCACACTCTTTAAAACATTCATAATGTGTATCGCATCAGTTCTAAGTATTTGAAATGAACACTAATTTTAAGTGTTGGAAAAGGGGTAGATAAGTTTGGACGTCGTGAAACACAGGAACCCAAAGCTAGCCCAAGACACTTCACTGCCTGAAGTACAGGTCAAGATGGCTCACCACTATCACACACACTCTCCCATTCCAGATATGGATATAGAAGCTGAGCAGACTGGCAGATGACTCTTATTTCAGCACTGGGGGTGAGACAGCGTCCACCACACTTCAGAGCAACAGGCTAGCTTAGGGGGCAGGAAATAGGGGCAGAAGGCAGACCTTGTGGCACACACTGCTCTTATAGGGAAATAGTTGAGGGGCTCAGAAAGTAGAGCAAGGGGCTTCTACTACTGCCCTAAAACTTTTGCTAACATATTCTGCCCAATGGTAGGGTTTGTCCTGCAAGTGTGAGAGCCAAGTCACACTTTCTGTGGCAGGTGAGATTGCTCCTTATCTTTCACATGTCTTCCAGTGAACCTCCAAAATACTTGAAAAAGAAACCCAGATCTAAACAAGCATTAGAATTCTATACATTCCTCTTTCTTTGAGCATATCGCACGCTACCTCCCAATACTAACTCCCAAGCAGGAGTTTATATCTTCATAAAGTTTCCCTTCCTGTATTACTTTGTTTTAATGGGAGACGTGCAGCTGATAAACGTGCCTGCTATATGAAAGCAGACCTTATTGGCTCTGATGCACAGTCACACTCGCTCAGTTTGGGACAATAGGCAGTGTAAAGATAAAACCCCAGAACCTGTCTTATTCACTCTTCTTTGAGCATACGTGACATGGTTAGAGTGCTGCAGTTTGTAGAATTCCTACTGAAAATCTTGTTTGCCTTCTCTACGTATCAGGTGTGCTATACAGGGTATGCTATGCACCCAAGGAAAGAGGGATTTCCAGGATCCTACTCAACACTCCATCAAGCAAAACACTACTCAAGTGCTCATGCCCACGAAAAAGCCAAACTACTTCCATTTGCTATTATGCACAACAGTACTCATATTCTAATCCACATGATCAGAAACGTATTGCCTCCAATAGACCCAGGGAAACAGCCCAAGCAAATGCTAATAATCTGTCCTGGCACATTCAAAGGAAGGGTAAAGGAAATTTATGAGCTGAACAACGACACTGCCCTTCTGACTCCTCACCAAACATCATGGAATTCATGGTCACAGACTGGGGTGCGGGAGATCACTTGCGCTGGTCGGCCCTCAAGGTGCTGTAGACTAAGGGTGCCATCCCCTGAAGCCACATAAAGATTTGCCGACTCAAATGGGCTGAATTTCATGCCTCCAAGAGAGTTTCCTGGGCCTTTCTGGAACACAGATGGGAAGAGGAGAGGAATATGCCTAAGTTACTGAGGAAGGATGGGAATAGGCAGTCAGCACAACCTGGCAGAGATGCACTGAGTTCAGGCTCTAGGTGAATTCACGCCTACCTAATACTGAACATTGCACCTTGTACAGTACTAGCTCTGAACTAGTTAACTTCTCAGATGTTGCATGCAAATTCAGAAGTTCCACTTCAAAAATGTTGAGAAGCTATACAATATCCTCTTCAAAAGCACCAAGCAATTAAAAAAAACAACTAAGAGAGAAACATTAAGCCATCTGTGTGCTGGTAGACTGGTTTATCAAGCTCCTTCTTGCAGAACTATTAGTATTGACTTTCTACTCTTACATTCTTTAACACTTCCAGTACCTATTGAAACACAGAGCAAACAAATAACTTTGCAGACCTAGGATAATTCTGAGGACAACATATAACATTACGTCTCAAGTCACAACACACACCCTCCGTCTTTAAACAAGTATAGTACTAAATATTCCCAACTGTGTATAGAAAACGCAAATAAGTTCTGCACCTTTATGATAAAGCCAGGCAACTTCCCACAAATTAAAAAGTTCCCTTCAGCTACATTAAGGTTCCTCTTGTTCCAACTAAAGGATGTGAATGTGGCAACTGCAACTTGATGTCCCTCCACACAATTGAAAAACCAAGAATAAATTGGAACACTATTCCATCCTATTGAACCTCAGCACTGAAATTGTCCATTATATATTTCTAGGAAGGTATTTGTTCACAACTTCTCTGCAGCTGCATCCAGTGCATTGTTTATTTTACTTCTTAACACCCATTGGAGCTTCTGGAGATTCCATAGCGTAGAGGTAAACTAATCTAATTCCATCAATCTTCGCTTTGCTGCATCAAAATGTGAAGACTTCACACAAGAACTTATGTCATATTTATTCCTTTACACAAGGACCTCCATCTGTGGAGGTATAAAAATATTACATGAGGATATCCAAGCATGTGTCTGTTTTGCTTCTGATATATGCTTCAGATAACTACTGTGAGAATCAGGTTCCTGATGCCTGAATTGGAAGGAAAATAAAAAACTCATGCAACCAAACCTACATTCAGGTTGACACAGATAAGAGTTTATTCACACATTCTTCCCAAAGCTGGTGTTAATATCAGTATCAGGACAAAGTAACATCAAATAAAGTGCTCAATGAAGTTTCAAGAGATCCTAAGATAGCTTAAGAACAAAAAATGTGAAACTGGTAAGCATTCAAATGAACCCAAAAATAAGGGATATGGTATCACAAGATGCTGACAAAATAAGGATGAAAAAAAGAAGAAGAAAAGAAATCCTAATGTATCTCAGTCTATTGTCACTGAAGGCTTTTCTCAAGTGTCAAAATGAAAAGCAGCCTACAGAGATCTCTGTTAACAGCATCACTTATTCGCAGCTGGCAACACAGGTGGATGCCACAAGATTCAACAGACTTATTGTGGCAAGAACGTTTGTGAAGAGCCCACTTCATCAGATGCACTTCTTAATAACTTAAAGGTGCTACAAGGCTCTTTTTTGTGTTTGCTCATAATCCGAAACACTGGTGCCCAGAATAAATGTAAGTTATAATACTGAATGTGTGTGCTTCATTTGTAAATATAATTCAAAACAAGCTTAGGAACACAATAAAATAATTTCCACTCCTTTGTCACCTGCACAGGGGAGTTCCCAAACTACCAATCTCTTACCACATTTCCAACACTAATTTCTTGTGTTATGGCTCTTTATCTATCTATTCATTACAGTATGTTTGTTATTGCTTGGGTATATGTCATATTTACAGACAGATCATGCACAATTAAGGCAATAAATTCAATCTGATGCATATTTGGGAAATATATCTCTGCCAAATGAGAAAGAACCCTTTAGGCAAAGAGATAGGCTTCTGCAAAATGATTCACTATGTTTTCCATAGCGATATCAAATTGTACACTGTTTTCCTCCACATTGTTTTTTTACTTATGTAACCTGCCTTAATGCCCAGTTTCAGGGGGCTAAAAGATAAAGTACATGATTAAAGCAAATAGTAGCGATTCAAGAAGAGCAAATCATTCACATTCTGAGTGGATAACTCTGGTAAGACCAGGGTGAGGGCTAACCCATGCCAAAATTACACCACTTCCTCTGTTTTGTTGCCTTCTAATACTAGAAGCAGTGAGAGGTGGGAAAAACTTTTATCACATCTTACTCCCAGTTGTCGGTACTGGTGAAGACTCGAATTGTATTTCCGTTAAAATCCTGCAGGGCAGTAGTTCCAGCAACTGATGAAGTGTACAGCTCACTAGGGTTAAAAGGGTTAAACTTCATTCCTGTGATGGCCCCTCCAGTTCTCATCTATAATGAATGGGATGAATAAAAACAGAAAGCCACTCAGAGATGAGGAAGAAGGAAAGTCCCTCTTGTTATCTCATCTAACACCAGTACAAGGCAGCATTCATCTTTATGTGGCATTAGCCAAGCTGAACAAATATCCTCATAGAGGAGAAGTTTCCTCTGGCCAATACCATTTCTGTTAAATAACTGCCATGTTGAAGAGCAAGCCTGCAGAACTCCTGGCACCGTCTACATCTTGAGTGGCTTGGCTCAGCTTCTTCTCAAGGTTGCCACCATGAACTAAACTGTTGAAAGTCACCTACTCAACCTCTTTACAAGAATGGGTTGTTCTGTGAACAGTTGCTAAAGGACTGAACCTAAGGGTACTAGCGGTGGGAGCAGGGAAAGGGATAAAGGATAAAGGATAAGACTGCAGACAAGTAATGTCCCAATGGAGGGAGGGGGTACTATATATGAAGAGTTTCAGGAGCTCAATTTGGGGGCTGAATTATTACCTTCTTGTGAAGATTTGGGAGGATAAAATGCAACATGGAGGTGATGCCTGGAAAGCTGTTCTGGATGATAAACAACTTCTTGGAAACTCTGAAACTTCCATATTCATTGTTGCCATAATACTCGCCCTTATTTTTGTTTGATAAAGGTGCAAATGAAAGTCCAATGTCATGTTTCTGCCCAGAGTATTAGTCTTATGCTTTTGTGAGCTTTTCTTTGGAAGACGATATTATTTTAAAAATCTTTGCTTGAATACAGACAGATATACAAATCATAGCAGCTCAGTATCCTTAGAGAAGACTTGGAATTCTCAAGGAAGCTACCGTATTCTCTTCCTCTGGGTTTGCTCAACCTTTAGAAAAAGATGAAGTTCACTCCACAGATAAACACAAGTGTATTTTGCCAAGGTATTATTAACAATTCAAAGCAAGGCCGATGAAAAATATTATTTCATTTGCGGAGACCTCATTCCTTCAACTCAATGAAGCACTTTCACGTCTAACAAAGCATGAAGCTGAAGTAAAGAGTTAAAACAAATAAAAAACCTCTCCAAATACGTATGTATTTTCTATTTTAGAGTAAAAATTATCTAATTCAAATATGTAGCCAGATCATTCCCTTGCATAGAAAGCTGGGAAATTACAACACAGATTTATCCAGTGCAATGGAGTTCTAACTAGAAGCCTTCATCATTAATCTACATACCGCTCTAACACAGAGCTTGCATAGACACTGCATTCGATCTTCACAATGACTTACCCCTTTTATGAAGCAGCTTTTATTAAGCATTTCATAGTCCCAAAGGATGATGTCTCCACCTTTGGAGCCCACAGCAACTGTGCTGGGGTGCGTTGGGTGCCATTCCAAGCATGTAACCCTCCTGTCAAAGGGACTTGCTGTGCGGAACAGGCGGTACGAATAGAGGGAACGTACAAAGGGCACCTGAAGACACTGTTACAAAGACAATGAGAGAGAGAGAGAGAGAGAGAGAGATAAGCCCTGCAATTCCCATATACTCAAGTCTGTGCTACTCTTCCAACTACTGTATACTGCTAACAGGTTCAACTGTGGACCATACTACACTACATGCATCCATATGTATCTTCCCTCTAATTTTCTTTTTTAACAGAAAACAACCTCTAGATCAGGTGTGGATCAGGAAGCTTTTTGGCCAGATCTTCATCTCCCCACACCCTGCAGGCTAACTTTGATAGGTGAGTCAATGAGCTGTCAATCAGCTGATGTCATAATGTTGTCAACATGCATTTCTGCATCTAGATGATGCAAGCTTCACCAGAGGTACAACAAGAGGAGCTGTGGAACTCTTTACCTGCTCGTTTTTCTACTTTAAATTGTTCCCCTCCCCAGCTGGTTTTCTCCAGAAATGATAAGGAGAAAAGGAATATGGTGAGAAGATGAGCAACACGACAATGAGAAATTATTATCCTGTCCATACAGGGGCAAGAGTGAAAAGAAATGGTACTATGTATTTCCAGAATTAAAGTTTTACATTTGATGTGGTGGAGGAAAGGAAAAGTTTGTAGATATCCATGGTTTAGCGTTGCCTCTCATCATAACCTTAATGCTATGAGCCTGAACAAAGCACTACTGTCACACACTCCCCCCTTCTCCTTGCCTCCTCCTGCATGGCTAAATCAGCAGAATTTACTTTAGCTTTTAAAGAATCCCAGCTTAGTTACAATTGGACCAAGGATGTTGTTTTTATAGAAACTTCAGTTAGCCTATCAAAACAGGCCAGCTTCATAATCCATGGTTTCGAGTTGACTTGCTATGAAACTTACTAGAGTTTTGTTTTAAACCAGGATTCCTGGTTCAAAAATAATGCTAAGCCAATATACTTTAAAAGTGGAACTATACTCTGCCAGTATCCCTCTCCCAATTGCACAGGAGGAGGAGGAGGGAGGAGAGTCAGTCTTTCTCAAAGCTCATTCTAGCTAAACCATCATTTAGCATTATGTGCAAATGCAACCAGAGTGTCATGCAGGCAGGTGGATTTTAAAAAAGGAAAAATCTACACATGGCTGTATTATGCATATTATGGAGGAGGGAACATAAACATGGGTCAAACAGTCAATAATAAAAGAACTGTAACTCTTTTCTCCTCCACACTACTATGCAGAGTATGCATTTAGATAGAAATAGAAACTGCAGGAACCTCAGGTGTTCAGCCAGTTTGTAAGGAAAAACACCTACCTTTCTGAGCTGTGTCCCAATAGCACCACCCAGCATATTCTGATGTAGATAATGGACAATGTTCTTCTGTGTCTCTCGCTGATGGAAGAACACTCCTGTTTTTCTGACCATGGATCCATGGAAAGCTTCTCCTGCCAGACAAAAGCAAAAGTTATATTACTACCTACTTACATGCTCACTTAGGACAGATTTCAGGTTTTTAAAAAATAAAATAAAAATGGACACATACCCTAAACTGGAGCCAGGTGCAATGAAACAAATTCTAGACAGTTTTCAAAACAAGCCACTTCAAATCATGAGTTATAATATAGGCTGGCTTGTTAAATTAACCAGAACCTATTTTAAACTGCAGTCTCTGGTTTAATTGTAATAACAAGCCAGGATTCTGTGAAAGCAAAATAAAACACTGCTGAAGTCTCTTGCTGGACATGTTGAAGGAGGTAGGGCGTATACAAGCCCAAGTTTGGGTTGGACTGATTCCAGCTTCTTACACATTTAATGCTAAACTACTACATGCAAAGTACTCCACTGAGCTCAATGAGGCTTACTCTCTGGTTAAGTATGAATAACATTGCAGGTTAACTCTCACTACACTAGACTAGGAGCAGCAAACTTTGGCAACCACTGGTTAGGTGGGCGTATAATATTGAGCGGTTTAAGTTTCTGAGCTACTCCAACTCTTCAGTTGGCTGGGTGTTAAGCAAAAAAAACCCACAAAAAACAAAATAGCAGAGGGCAATGAGAAGACTATGCAAGGAAATAACAATGGCTGCAACAGGCCTGAAAAAAACAGAGGCTGTATTTTGCCCCCTTTCTGAACTGAAATAGGTTAGCAGTCAGTATAGCTCTACCAGGTTAAAAATGAGCTAAAAACTAAGGTAGCTGGAGACATCATTCTTAAAGCACAGTGGAAGAAAATAAATATTGGCCCAGTTTAGGATAAAAGCACAATATTCCAGGTACTTCCAAAAGAATGAGTACATAAACCCCAGCCAAGCCCCCCGGAGTTCCTGCAGAAACAGAATATTCCAGGTTTGTTCTGTAGCCTACAGAAAATGTGCAGAGCTATTGGCAGGCTGTTCTCAACAAACAAACCTGCTGACTCTTCATGGAAAAGTCTAAAAACACTGTTGTCCAGGGAGAATTTTGCTGAGCAACTCAGCTTGGGATTTGTTTTCGAACATTGGTTCTGTGTTTTGTGTTTAATTACCAGAGGCATCTACAGCAACACAGAATCTGACTGCAACATATCTAATCACCCCCAAAGCAAAGGAATACGGCATATTGCAATTTCTTAGGAGTCAGACGACAACAGTCCTCAACATGAGGTAGAAGCAGATCAAATGAAACTCTTGAAACATGTATTTTTGCAAGGAAGGGTCCATAATAAAATAAAAGTGTTTCCTTAGTCAACCAAAAGTATAGAATATTAAGGATGCAACCCCCATTGTAATAACAGCAAAACTCCCCATGGATTTTAACTGGCCTAGTAAATCTATGTCACAGCAGCATACCTGCTGGTTAAAATATAGATTTTCTCCATTCATATTCAAAGCAGTGGGGCTGCTACTAAAAGGGAGCACAAACAGAGGTGTTGAGTGCTCCCCCATCCCTGGCAAGTACTTTTCTTATAGTCAGTCTTACTTTAAACCAGAGATTTCCAAACTGTGTGCTGTGACACCATAGTGTGCACTTTGTATGTGTCTTCCCACGCTTCCCGGGGCTGGAAAGGGGGTAGTTTAACCTCTGGTTTCCTAGTAAAACTGAATTACTGTGTTGCAAGTTGATGCATGCCTAAAAAGTGTGTCACCAACATGGAAAGTGGAAAGCTCTGCTTTAAACAGTGGAGCACGAGAGTGCCTGAAAAGGGTTTAAACATTCCACACTCTACTGGCCCTTTCCACCGCATGAATGGGGCAGACTCAGATTTCAAAAGATGCAGTCTCATTATTGCCACATACAATATTGGGTCTCTGTCATTCCTCAGCTGGGAGACTCCTCATCAGAGGACAACCTGTAGTCCCCAGCACTACCACAAGCCTGGGATCAGACTCAGGCTGAGGTGAGGCCATCCACACCACAAGTGAGTTCAGCTTCTGGGGTTGCCTGTGCACAAGTCCTGAGTCTGGAGGAGAGATGGCACCTCAAATGCCAGACAAGATCCACCTCAATAGAAGGGCCTGTCTGCAGACAAGCACTCCATAGGGGCCAATGAGACTTCTGGATGAAGGCAGCTGATAGGAGTCATCTGGATTTAGGGTGTGAGTCCAGCACTTCCAGCTCAAAAAAACCCCCATACTTGGCTGGAAGAACTGCTGGAACAATGCTTTTGTACCAGAACTGTGACAGATTTGGCTGACTGACTAGCCTAAGCCTGACCTCAGACCTGTCACCTGCCATGCCTTTGTTTGCCCATGGATTAAACTTGAAGATGACCTCAGACTATCCCGAGCTTGCCTCTCGCTAGGCTTCTTGTTTTAGGCCCTGATTACTTGGACCATAACCTTGGATACCACTTCTGCTTGTGCTCCTGTCAGTATTGCCTGAACCCTAATCCTGTTTCCTAAAGAATCTAGTGAGAGCAGTACAGCCCAATTTTGAACATGCATGTGTCCAATGCTTTTACACTTCTAGCCTTATCTGCACTATTGAGAGACTTCTAATGTCAAAAGACTTTTAACACAGAGAGTTATATTTGGACCTGCTTATATCATGAAGATTATTTCTTTAAGAGGCTTTATTTTCTAACGTTTTTCGGGTTGTACCAAGCTTCATCTTCTTTTTAAAGCCAGTGCAGTTTTTTGAACAACACTCGTAAAATAACATTCAAACAAAAACTAAGTGAAGTGTTAAAATAGGTCCATAAAGTGAGATATGGAAAAGATAGATTAAAGTGCTTTTACCAGATAAATTGGAAAGGCAAAATATACTGGACTGCTGAATGGGATAAATAAGTCTCAAGGAAAGTTGACCAAATGTTCCTGTACTTGTCTTTGTGTTCACATCAATGCATTACTAGTTCAAATAAGGAAAGGGAGTGTAAACCATTCATTCACTGTTGTATGGAAAGTAACAGCTTCTCCTTCCAGCATTGAAGCACCATTCATTTCTCTGACCCTGGAGCACACATGACTCAGGGCCCAGTGGTAAATTCCAAATAGCAGGAATGCAATTGTAAAACATGCATATATCTGAAATATAATGAAGTTTGCAGGACCAAATTAAATAATTACCAGAACTCAAAAAGTGTTACAACTGAGCAGCCCCACATGAAGCGACAAAGAATTTGATTTCTGCTTCATATTGCTGTACAAAGCAAACTTTTAAAACTCTCCCAATTTTACTATGTGGGGATTAAATTACCTTTGTTAGTTAAGTGGCAAACCACCAAAACAAGCTGCATTTAGAGCTGATTTCATTATTACTATTTTGGCCTAGAGAGAAGCAAAAGGCTTGCAGGAAAAAATGACAGGGGAAAAGATTAAATATGAAGAGATCAAATTACATGTACCCATGGTCTGTTAGCAATAGCAACTATCAGAACAAACAATACCAACAGAATCAAATTGCATTAGCATTACATTGACACATATGAGAAATGTATGTTTTAAGGCCTTACCCATTTTCTCCAGAATCTTGGGGGCTTTTTTCACAAGTAATTTATTTGCATATGGCACATTTTCCAGCTCTCTGGTGTCTCGCTTCCTTTTCCCAGTTGTTTTTGCCTCTTTTTCTGATGGACACTCAGGAGACTTTTGTAGTTTCTTGTCCCTTGACTGCTTCCCAGGTGCCATTCTGGTAAATCACTGAGAAAGACCAACAGAGTGGGGGATATAGTCATAGAAGAACTCTTTAGATTCTTAAGAAAAGTAGCATACATTTTTAAAGTAGCTTAAAATGGAAGTAAACAGCAAATGTAACATGAGATTTCAAGCCCCACCATTTCATAAATCCTCACCAATACTTTCTTATTATGCATTCTCTTTTTACATTTATATCCCAGTTTTCTTCCATCATGGAACTCCAGATAGCATGCAAAAGTTCTGAGGAGGTTCTGAGGAAGTGTGACTAGCCCAAGGTCACCCGGCAGCTGCATGTGGAGGAGCAGGGAAGCGAACCCGGTTCACCAGATTATGAGTCCACCGCTCTTAACCACTACACCACACTGACTTTCCTTTCTGCTGGATCCAACAACCCCCTCAGTCAATTTCATTTCTTCCCAGAAACTAAGGATTGCTTGCTTAGTACTGTATAGGTATTCTTCTCCCTTCCCTTGATCTTAAGAGGATAAGAGCAAGGAATATCAGAAAACAAAGAATTGCCATGAAATTGCCATAATTGAAGTTGTTCAATCTCTGAAGCATCAGACGTTAGTAACTGACTGGATGAGGGCAAAACAGACTGAAGCTTAATCCAGACAAGACAGATTCGGAACAGATAAAGTACTTCATTATGCAGCGCAGAGTTAAACTATGCAATCGACCTCAATAAAATAATATTCTTGTGTACAGTCTATAGATATTTTAACTTGAAGCAGTCATAAGGTGTTTAATTATTCTACAGTTGCATTTCATAATTATTATTTTTGAATTATTATTAAATTTATTACCTGCCCTTCATCAACAGCTCCCAGGGTGGGTTACAACAATTTAAAATTCAGTGTTAAACACAGGTCAAACAAATAGTCACAGGAAAAGGTTGGTAACTTGAAACACACACACATCTCAGATGCCAAATGCTAGGGTAAATAAACAACAGCCCAGTAATGAGAAGCAGACCGGTAGTGGTTGTAAGCAGGGGGAGATGAAAAATCAGAGTGGGGTGGGACTGCGTTCATATCAATTATTCTCAGCAGGAATAAAACCTCATTTAATTCTGAATAAAACATACCAAAACGAACTGATTATATTTTATTCTGTAAAGGCACATGCCTGGGGGGTGAAATAATGTGAAATAGCAAAAGCACTTTGACAAACATACTCCAATATCCTCAATCCAGCTTTTCCTGTTTTTCCCCCTGCTGCTCTGAGGGGCTTCTCCCAAGTCCCAAGTGGGGAGGAGGTCAACATTCATTCGTCTGATTGCTTAGGGACAGTCCTTAACAATGGTGCTGCCTGCGGAGTGCCAAAGCACTGAAGCTACCTCCATGTTTTGTGCCCTTTCTTCAGAAATGGCCAAGTGATTTACTTTTTTATAAAAAATGAAAGTGAAAAATCAGGAGGGGGTTTCTGCTGGTCTTGGGTCCCCCAAATCCTACTCCTTTTACCCATCTGTTAGTGGTCCTGGGTCAACCTGTATTCAAAAGGCACTGGAAGCAAATGTAGCCAATGGTTTCTAGACAAATTATGCCACTTCCTGCTCTTTCCAAATACATTTGTAATAGTTTCCTAATGGCCATATGATATTTAATGACAAAGCAACTTATGTTACCACATGTTTATTATCAAGATAGATAAGTAGAAGGAGTTGTGGCATAGCTAGTGTGTGGCGGTGTGCATTTGAATATGAGACCCTCAGAACAAAATCCCTGTTTAACACCTTGTGTTGTCAGTGTCCTTAATAATAATAACAATGATGATACTTTGGGGCATTATTCAGTGGCTAAAAAGCTCCCCTTTCATGCTGACTGGGCAGCTCTAGGACGCTGGAGACAGGGGGGGGGGACGGGTCTTCGACCCCTGCAACCCTGAAATACTACACCACTCATCTTAACACATAAAATATTTTCACCAGTCTGGAGCAATAGCTAAGTGCAATGATCAGAAAAGAAAGGAAAAAATTCAAGAAACCGTCGTAGAAGGTAATACTGCAGGGGGGCTACTCCTCCTCTCTCTCCCTCAAATACGGCACGTGAAACAACTTTCAGTTTTATGTAAGTTAATATTATTAGCATACCAGAGGCGGGCCAAATAGTACAAGGCTGCCTAAATAGAACCGCCCGCCCTCCCCGCCCTGGACCAAAACGAAAAAAGCCCACCGCCTTTCAGGCGTGAGGGGACTTTGAAATAAGGTTGGGGGCAGCAAGGCGGAGCCTGAAGCAAAGAAGGAGGTCCTTGGCGTCGGATAGCGAGAAGCAGGGAATGCAAGCGAAGGGGAGGGCTGTGTATCCTTCCGAGGGGCGAAAGCGCCTCCCGAGCGCGGGTGCCTCCGCCACAAGTTTCAAGGGGTGCAAAGGGGAAGCGGTAGCCAAGGGCGCCCCCTCACCTGAACTCCCTTGACCGCACGCTCCTTGCTAACGAGGCCGCCCCGGCTGAGGAGTGGATGGACAAAAGGCGCGGGAAGAAGGAGCCGCCTCCTCGCCGGTTTCATAACCTGAGCGGGGTGGGGTGGGGGGGATGTAGAGGAAGGAAGGAAGGAGGGAGGGAGCCGAGAAGAGCTTTACGCGGGAAATTAGTCGGGTTCCGGCGTGGCTTCGGATTGGGAACCGTGTGGCTGGCACGCAGCCTCCCGTGGGCGCTTTCTCTTTCCTCTCGCCGGAAGGAGGCGCCACGAAATGGTCTGCAGCTGCACCGAGAAAGAGCTCTCCCCGCGGCCTTATGTTTACGTATAAGCTAAACAAGCTATAGCTTAGGGCCCTACTCTCTTAGAGCCCCCCCCAAAAAAAAAATTAAAGGGGAAAAAACGATGTACATTTCCGAAATATAAGATAGAAAACAAATAAAACCTATATACAGCAACAGTGTTTTGTGTTGTATAGGCTCCTATTGGTTATGTGCAAACGGCTTTAGATACCTATTAGGTCCATAAATTACCATATAGTATATATTCAACACAAAAAAACAGCGACAATTTGTTGTTGACAAAGGACAGCTGTACATATAAAGGGGCCCATTACCTTCAGTAGCTTTGGGCCTAATTAAACCTTAATCTGGCCCTGATTGCACCAGAATTTGGCCCTGGCGCCCGATTTATTTGTTCTTTACATCGTAGGAAGAGAGATGCAGTATAGGAGGGTGATTGCTTCTTTAAGTGCCGCCGGGAAGCATCCTCAGGGGGGAAAGAAAATAGTTTATCTGAGCGTGTGCAGAGTGCCACGGCCATAACCACTGGCAGCTCAAGTGCACAAACAAGTTTGGCCTAAACTATATTCGAGCCCCGGCAGCAGTTAGCATAGGAGCCAACTCCTAGGGGCCGAGGGGGTCTTCGCCCTCTCCCCCGCCCCCCCAAAATTGATGGGCATTGCCATTCAAATGGTGTGAGTGCACTGTGTCATGTGATTGATTATGCGGGTGGGGCTTACCAGTGGCGTAGCGTGGGGGTGCAGGGGGGGCCGGCCGCACCGGGCGCAACATCTGGGGGTTAGGGTTAGGGGGCGCAAATCCACGGTTTAGGGGGCGCAAATCCACAGGTTAGGGGACGCAAATTACTTGCCTTGCCCCGGGTGCTGACAACCCACGCTACGCCACTGGGGCTTACCTAGGGACCCCCCTCCAATATTTTATTCAAGTTGGCACCCCTGGCACTTGAAAACAGCTAATGGGAAAGTAGAGGTTGGGAGATAAATCCCCAAAAGGGAAAGAAATCCATGAATGTAGTGTGCTACATTTGTGACATTGTTTATTCCAGCTCCTACTGGACGACACTCGTGGACATGGTGCAGTAGCGCATAAAAAGCTGGGAATCATGGAAAGTTCCAAGCTAACATGGATTCATATATGAATGTTTCCCCATTTAAGAAACCCCATGCATGGGGGGGCATGTTAGGAAGGTGTGACAAGAATGGTATCTCAAATACAACATTTGCTACTTATTGTTTTTGCAATGTTTTAAATAGCTATTTTTAACTTTTTCACTGGTAATTCCATTGTTTTATTCTTTTTATAAACAATTTTGAAGGTGTATTTTCTTACAATCGAGGTATAATTTTCTTTATTAAATAAATAACATTACAGATTTTAGGCAGGAACCACTCGAATGTGATTCCTCATCCTACAGTCTGAAGCTATATGGTCAAGTTAAGAATTGCATCAAATGTTTCTGATTATGTAGCTCAGTACTCTGGTTCTCATGAAGATGGAAGCTTTTCTATGCTTCTCTTAGGTGGCTGTTGTACTGTGAGATTGTGTTGCTGGCAGCCCCTTCCTATACTTCAGGTTACTGACCACTAACTAAATAATGTGCCCATTAGGCAGGGATATCAGCCTGAAACCCTCTTTCTGGCTTGTATACATTCACCAAACCATCTGTACACTCCCTGCATATGTATGCAAATTTTTTATGTGTGGCCAGGGATCCTAGGCACACATAGTTAGGTAGCTCATTAAAATTAAGTTTCATTTCATTCTGTACCTTAAAACATGCGGAAGTCACCTAGGATTATTTTTTTACATGTATAATAATTTTAAATTAGCAGCAATCTTTCATGCACTCTGTCAATGTCAAAAGGAAAAGGACTTCCAGCACAGATTCATTATTAGGAAAGCAAAATGATGGACAAATGGCAATACTCTGCCAGGAAGGAAAGAGCAATCAAGAGCTGCCAAATGAGAGAGGGAAAGAACAATCAAATGCAAATTGCATCAGGCATATTTTAATCTATTATTGATGCTGCAATTGATTAAAAAGCCAAATTAATCAATTCATTATTTCAGCTCTAATTGTATCCACAGTCAAACCTCATCTGAGTAAATTAAAAGGCACACATTGGATGCATTTTACAAGCTACTTTTTCTGGAATAGTCTATGCTGCTGTTCCGGATTATTCATTGCTCTCATTGTCTTATTTTCAGAGACCTATGGATTCCCATCCATTGTCAATGGTTATTCAGTAACAGCAAATTGTCAAAAAATATATATAGATGTTTCCTTTTACATCCTATTCATAAACCCTGAGACATCAGTTACTTCACCAGCTTGAGAAGGATATATAAATCAACAGCTAAAGGGAATGCTTTGCCATGGACTAATTGGGATTTTTGTCATACTAATTTGCCTTTGCTTCATATTTGAAAGCATAAAACATACTGTATGTTCCTTCAAACTTAAGCTGATGCACACCCAGAAGTCTCATTGATTTTATTTTCTTTAGACAGCAGTATTTTTTCATACTTTATAATATTTATATTGTTCCTTTTTCTTTTATATTAAAAAAATACAACAAAGATCATATTGAAAAAGAAGTCTCACTTTGTTCAATAAGATTTACTTCCAAGTAAATGTGCACAGAACTGCAGCCTTATAATTATGTTAAAAATAATGCCACAAGTGGATGTAGCATTAGAATAGAGGTCTGGATCTGGCCAACAGGCCATCTCCCCTTGCCCACCCCCACCCACCCCCAGGCCAAGTTTGACAAGTGGATCTACCCACCTAATAATCACTAGATGTCACTTTGCCTGTGAAGTGTGCACAACACTTGTCTGCTGCGAACAATCAGCTGGTGGGTGAGAGTGGGGAAGCCCTGTGCACAGGTCTATTTCATTCATTCTATTTCATTTATCCATCTATTTATTTATTTTAATAATTGACATACCACTTAACTGCAATAGCTTCTAAGCAGTTTACAGAAATACAGTACAAGAGAAGCAATACAAATAATTTGAAACTATAATAAATTTAAAATGCATGCTGGGATAAAAAAAAAGGCTTGAGTAGGCACCAGAGGTTCAGCAGGGATATTCACTGTGATATTCAGTGCTGTGCTAGGAAGGGATTTCCCCTGTGCCAACAATGAGCTGATCATCGGTGTCTGCAACACACTTTAGTTGGATCAGGGCCACTGCCTCCCTTGTTCCATGAATCCCAACGGCTGCCACCCTTCCTTGTAATTCAACACAACCATTGCCTCAGTTTTGCATACCAGAAGACCAGGAACTAACCTTTCTGAGCAAGCACACTTGGAACATCTCTGCTAACTCCCAAGGTGATTGTGGGTTTGTTTGTTTTAAGATGGATTTTAATCTAGACAATTGTTTGTAGACAGAATATTACAGCTGAGCAGCTGTACTGAAGGGGGAAGGATCTTGCCCTGAGCAGTACTTTGATGGGAAACCACCTGGGAATCATGTGTAAGCCACTCTGAGGTGCTTGGAGGAAAAGCGGAGTATAATAAAGTGCAAACATATAATGAAAGACCTGGTGCGCGGAACCTGGGTGGCCCTGTTTTTATGGGTTTTGAAGCAAATGGATGCCACCCACAGAGAAGATAGTGGATGCTACATCCAAAGCAAACTCCCCCAGCTATGCGGAAGTATAACAGCGTGTAAATAAATAAATAACCAAAGCAGGCTGATAAGGACCCGTGCTAATCTGTTTCTAGGCCTTACAAAATACTGAGGACAACTGTTGCGGGTGTCAGTTTGGTACGGGGGAGAAGGGAAATTGAGCAAGAAGACTTATTTGGCCTGAGATCTTAAAGCAGGGACAGAGAACCTGTGACCTTCCATACGTTGTTGGAACTCCTATCAGTCCCAGCTAGCATGACCAATTGTTAGGGATTATTATTAAGTTGGAGTCCAGCATCTGTAGAGCTGCATGTTCCCTGGTCCTGATGCACAGTATCCTGGAGAGAGGAATTAGGAAGCTGAGGCTGTGTTCCATGGAGTTCAAAGCTGCCAACCCACACTCTGTATGGGAAGTTTCAGGAAGGAATAAATATTTTCACACTCTTCGGAAGCTTTACCTTTATGTATCAATAACGTGTTTAGGTTCAGAGCTGGATGTCAGTGCTGAACCTGAGACCTTGAACATTATAAATAGTATGGGGAAAAGTTTCAGGCAGGTAGGTGGGGGGGGGGAATAGCGTCTAAAGACTTTTCTCTTTTTTCTCTGTCCCTTCCTGCAAGCTCTGAACAGCATTACACGTCTTCTCTTCCAGCAGTGGCTGGAAGGACGGAAGCATTCCTGTCAG